GTTGCACAGTCCTTGTGGAGACAATGGCCTTGAGATAGCACCGATGTGTTGTGTAGCACCATCAGTCTGCTGGATGTGATAGATTTCAAACAGACCTTGCAACTCAAGATTGGGCATCCATAGAGGTATTGTGGGCCATCAGCAGCAGAATTGCATTCAAATACCATCCATAACCACATGGCACAGCATATCCCTGACAATGCCATTACCACCAAACCAGGGAATTAAATAAAAGCAATATGCTGTGGATGCTGGAAAGCTGAAATAAAGCAGAAAGTGTTGGAGAAAAGGAGTCATATTAGACTGAAATGCTAACTGTTTCTTTCTCCACAGATACTGGCAGACATTAAGTTTCTCTAGCATTTTCTCTTTTTAAGCCAGGGATCAATCCCGACTGAAAGTGCATGAAGGCATACCAAGTATTCATAGAAATAAGGTGTCAACCTGGTAAAGTTGGTAAACACAAGATTACTTGCATCCCACGCTGCCTGAGCAGCATATAATTGATTCCATAATCAACACATCAGATCCATGCTCTGCAGTCCTGCCACATCCGTGAATGGTGGACAATTAAAAAGCTCACTTCAGATGGCAGCTCCACCAATATTCCCACTCTCAATAGAAGGGGGAGCCCAGCAGATCAATGTGAAACCATAGTTGGTTTTTGAATTAGAATAAGTACAGATGTACATCTGTTGATTTAGGGATGACTCTCATAGAACATAGAACAGTACAGCACAGTACAGGCCCTTTGGCCCACAATGTTGTGCCGAACTTTTACCCGAAATCTAAGGTCTATCTAACCTCCACCGCTACCTTATACTATCATCCATATGCCTATCTAATAGCTGCTTAAATGCCCCTAATGAGGCTAACTCCACTACCCTCTGCGGCAATGCATTCCACGCCCCTACCACACTCTGAGTAAAGAACCTATTTCTGTCTCCCCGATATCTACCTCAAATATCTAGAACTATCTAGACTCTCATATCTAGAATTTTAAGTCAGAAACCTTTTGGATATACAGAACTATTAGTATGCCTAAATATAACTTGCTGGGAGGTACTTTTACTTTGTCTGATATCCTGCTGTACATCTAAACTTGAAATGAAAACAGAAATTACTGGATAAACTCAGGTGTGGCACCATGTGTGGAGAGAAGGCAGAGTTCATAGAATCATAGAACCCTGCAGTGTGGAAGCAGGCCATTCGGCCCATCGAGTCCAAACCAACCCTCCGAAGAGCATCCCACCCAGACCCACCCACCCTATCAATGTAACCCTACATTTCTCAGGGCTAATCCACCTGACCAATGCATCTCTGGACACTATAGGCAATTTAACATGGCCAATCCACCTAAACTGTACATCTTTGGGCTGTGGGAGGAAACCCATGCAGACACAGGGAGAATATACAAACTCCACAGTCACCCAAGGCTGGAATTGAACCTGGGTCTCTAGCACTGTGAGGCAAAAGTGCTAACTACTCAGTGACCACGCTGCCCAATCTTAATGTGACCCTTCTTTAGAACTGACATAGCCAGGAAATTCTGGAAGAATCTCAGTGGGTTAGAAATCTATGTGACCCTTCTATTCAAGAAAGGTGGGAGACTGAAAGCAGGAAATTGCCATCTAAACTATTACCAAGTGTCAGGGAGATGTTGGAATTGTTAAAATTGTAGTGAGATGTTTCAGAAAATCGTAATATAATCAGCAGGAGTAATCATAGTTTTATGAAAGTAAAATCCTGTTTTACAAGTTGAAATTTGGGAGGATGGATCAAACAGTGGATAAAAGTGACTGATGGGGTTTAATTTAGATAAATGTGAGGTGTTGCATTTTGGACAGGTAAAATCAGGGCAGGACTTAAGTTAATGGTAGGGCCCTGGGAAATGTTGCTGAACAAAGAGACCCAAAGCTGCAGGTGCATACTTCCTTGAAAGTGGAGATGCAGGTAGACAGGGTAGTGAAGGCATTTGGCACACTTGCCTTCATAGGTCGGAAAGATCGGTGAAGCCACTTTTAGAATACTGCATACAATTCTGGTCACCCTTGTATAAGGATGTTGTTAAAACTTGAGAAGGTGCAGAAAAGATTTGCAAGGATGTTGGGACTGGAGGGTTTGAGCTACAGGGAGGAGCTGAATAGGCTGGGGCTTTTCTCCACCTGGAACATTGGAGGCTGAGAGGTGACCTTATAGAGATTTATAAAATCATGATTGCTTATTCACCCTAAGTCTTTTTCCTTGAATAAGGAAGCCCAAAACTAGAAGTCATTGGTTTAAGGTGAGAGGGGAAGAGATTTAAAAAATGACCTGAGGAGTAATATTTATGTGCAGAGGGTGGTGCATGTACAGAATGACCTACCAGAGGAAGTGGAGGCTGGTAGTCACATTTGAAAAGGTTGGATATACGAATAGGAAGGGTTTAGAGGGATACAATGCCAAATGCTGGCAAATGGGACTAGGTCAGATTAGGATGTCTGATTGGCATGGATGAGTTGGACTAAAGAGTCTGTTTCTGTGCTGTGTGATACTGTGACTCTATGACTGTATAAATGCTTTAGCCTCATCTTTTACAACAATCTCCAGCTAGTAGTGCTTAGTGGTCAATCCACCTTGATCCACACCAGCGATGCCTCGTCTTATAGATACCAGATTTCAGCAAATTGATTCACTGCATGAGATTAAATAGCTAAAGGCACTAGATACTACAAAGCTGTAGGTTCATAATTTTTGCGTTATTCTTTTAATAATTTAGGTTTGGAGATGTGAACTGGGAACTGACAGCTAAAAATGACTTTTGGACTTTGGTCTGTTGTTCCTTTTTACACAAACTGTTATCCAAACGAGTTTTTGTTATTCACGAAGCCAGATCTGGAAGTCACTTGTAGGTTGGTTCCTCATCAAAAAAGGTCAGCAGATGCTTTGTCACCAAAGAAGCGAAAGAGGTTTAAAAACAGGTGACAGAAGCTTTTTTTTTTCCATTAATGGGATATGGGCACCACTGGCTGACCAGCATTTATTGTCTGCTCTGGGTGCCCTGGAGAAGGTGGTGAGCTGCTGCCTTGAACCACTGCAGTTCACATGCTGTGGGTTGACTGACAATGCTGTTAAAGCTTGGATCCAAATCCTGGAATTCTATGTCAGTGAAGGAACGATGATTTATTTCCAAGTCAGGATGCTGAGTCACTTGGAGGGACCTTGAGGGTGGTGGTGTTCCTGTGTATTTGCAGCTCTTGTCCGACTAGATGGAAATTGTGGGTTTGGAAGGTGCCAAGGATCTCTGGTGCATTTCTGCAGCGCATCTTGTAGATAGTATACACTGCTGCTACTGAGCATCAGTCTTGGATGCTTGTGGACGTGGTGCCAATCAAGTGGGTTGCTTTGTCCTGAACAGTATCAAGCTTTTAATGTTAGAGCTCCACTTAGACAGGTGGGGAGAATTCCATCACACTCCTGACTTGTGCCTTGCAGATGGTGAACAAGGCTTTGGGAAGTCAGAAGGCGAGTTACTTGCTGTAATATTCCTAGCTTCTCACCTGCTCTTGTAGCCTCTGCACTTGTTTATGTGCAGTGGCTACAACCCTAGGATGTTGATAGTGGGGAATGTCAAGGGGCAATGGTTAGATTGTCTCATTGGTGATGGTCATAGCCTGGTCCGAATGTTACTTGCCACTTGTCATCCCAAGCCTGGATATTGTTCAGATCTTGCTGCATTTGAACGTGGACTGCTTCAGTATCTGAGGAGTCAGGAATGGTGCCGAACATTGCACAGTAGCAAACATCCCCACTTCTGACCTTATAATAGAGGGAAGGTCATTGATGAAGCAGCTGAAGATGGTTGGTCCTAAGACACTATCCTGAGGACTACACCTGCAGACTTGGCCTGGAATGGAGATGACTGACCTCCGACAACCACAACTATCTTCCTATGTGGCACATATGACATCAACCAGCAGAATTTGCCCCCAATACCAATTAACTCCAGTTTTGCTCAGGCTCCTTGATGCCACTTTGTCAAATGCAGCATTGATGTCAAGGGCTGCCACTCACACTGCAACTGGACAATGTTCAGGTTTGGACTAATAAATGACAAGTCATATTCATGCTACACAAGTATCAGACACTAATTATCTCTGGCAAGAGAATTCAACCATCACCCTTGGCAGTTAGTAGCATTACTTATCTCTGTATTCCCCAACATTCTGGTAAGGAGAGGGACATCCTGGTTAAAAGCAGGGAGGGGGGTTGCCATTGACCAGAAATTGAACTGGACCAGCCATACACATACTGTGGTTACAGGAACAGGTCAGAGGCTAGCAATTCTGCACTGAGAAACTCACCTCCTGACTTCCCAAAACCTGTCCACCATTTACGATGCACAGTGTGCTGGAGTACTCTCTGCATGTCTGGAGAAGTGCAGCTCCAACACCACAAGGAGTTGACATCAAACAGCCTATTGTTTCAGACCTCAACCAGCTGCGTCAAAATTCACTCCTTTCACCAACAATGCAGTGGCTGTATTGCATACCACTTCCACAATTTTCAGAAACCCAGCAAGGCTCCCATGATTGCAGGTCTGGAAGGTGCTATCTCTACTACCTAGAAGGGCAAGGCAGTAGGTAGATGGAATCACTACTAGAGAGTTTTCCTCCAACCCACATACCAACCTGCTTTAGCACGATATTTGCCACCTCTTCACTTTTGCTGGGTCAAAGTCATAACAGTCCCCAACAGCTCGGTGGTGTACCTATACGACATGGACTCCAGCAGTTCAAGGCAGCAGTTAGGCACCACTTTCTCCAGACCAATTTGGGCTGGGTAGTAAATGCTTGCATGCAAGCAATGCCCCATGAACAAATAAATCAAAGTGTATAGGCAGTTTCTTCTGCCTATACTTAACAGAAATGCATATTAGCTACATCATTCCAGTCACTTTTGTTGTTGCAGTAACCCAAGTATAAGATACAGTATTGTAAGAAACACCTTGAAAAAGCATGTTGAAATATGCTTTATTTTATTGATTGAACTTGTTGAAATTGTACAAGTAACTTACTGACATCAAGTATCACAGATGCATATTCAATCCATAGACAAATGTACCGCACCAGAGGAAAGTAAAGCAAAACAAGCATTGACAAAATGATCAAAAAGCCTCGTGCAAAACAGTAACAGAAATACATGTTAACTGGTACAGAATTGGCATCATATTGTCTTGCATAAGGCCCAGTTTACCACAGAAGTTAAATCTTTCCAAGTAAAATTTACCCAAAATTGAAGTAGTCCATTGGTTTAAATTGGCATGTATTGAAGTGCAAAAATTGCAATGTATTCCATTCAAGAAAAACAATAGACAGTGAAATTCCAACAGATATTTGGCCAACTGACCTATTGTTGTGTCCCGTACATGCAGTTGAGCTGCTTCTTGGCCTGCTCCCACGATGCACGGGCATTAGAAAGGAACTACTTCCTATGAGGAAGAGGCCAGCACCAATACATCACAATCCAATAGCAGATGCAGTAAAGTTGAGAAAGTAAAGCGTTCTCCCACTTCAATGGTCCTGAATTATAGTATGATTAGTACTCTTAAAAAAAAAGACACCCAAGACCCCACACGTAGTGCACTATCAACACAATATATGTACTCTTCTTTTTTGCATTTTCTATTGCCATTCCTTCAGTCTAACTTTAATTAGTCTGCCGATGGAAGTTTTTAATCAATGCAGCTACAAAACTGGAACAGTTCAGCTTAATATTTTCCAGTAACTGTCATAATCAGCTGAAATGCAAACTTATTACCCAGCTAAACGACTAGTGACTAGCTTGCACAGCTTGTTCCAAAGCTTATGACCCAATCTTTTAGACTTTTCTCCCCGGGCAAATAGGAGTGTTTTTTTTTTAAATAAAGCAAGATGTTATCATTCTATCACGATGTAGAATACTGTACTGCATTCAAGTGAGCTGAATCATTCAAATGGCTGAAAATTCAGATAAATGTAATAACTTGAAGGTGTATTTTTACATGAAAACATAATAAGCAAAGTGATCTGTTGAAACTTCTAAATATTAGCCAACACTTTCAGCCATACCATTGGGAACAAAAGCTAGCATTATAAAACTGAACACAAGTGAAGGGTGCCACCATCAGTCTTTCAAAGTGGCTCAGATATAGGTCTATGTACCCTCAAGACTATTTTAAACCAACAAAATCAATTCTCCGTAAAAGCTTTCAGGCAAATACATACAAAATTTATTCTCTACCATATACCAAACAGCTACTCAGAGAAAAGGTTAACTGATTCACTGGAATATTACAGAATCTTTTCCTCTACCTGATACATGCAATCTCTGAAAGATAACAGCTTGGAAAAAGAAAAATAATGTGTGCCGTTCAAAAAACAGAAATGGTATCCCATTAAAGATCCATTTAAAAGTAGCTTACAAGCGATCTTCTCAAACTTTGTCTTTTGCTTATTATTTGGATTACATCTGATAAATATTTGAGAACCCACTTCAGCCTAGAGGATGAACAACACCATGTAGGCAATTTACCAACTGTGGTTTTACTGTGCAAACCAAATGAAAGATCAACAATGTTTGTCTGTACTCCCATTTCAAATCAGTGTCATAGGGGAATGGAATAGCTTGCAATAACCGGAGAAACATCAACCTTCTGGGTGCAAGTGGTGATAACAACTGATTGTTGTACTTGATAAGTATTACCACGTATAAGAATAATACTGAAATTTACAATCCTAAGAACAGTATGTAAATCAGTTAATAAGTTATCTTAAAATTCAGTCTTTATTTTTGGCAGACTCATATCAAGAACTGTGCAATGAGATTAGCCACACCAAGAACTATAAGGAAACTGTGGAAGATCGCAGACGGCCAACTCAGCTGTCCTCTACGGTGGAGTGACATCATATGAATGAGAGATGGATAAACAAATACAAAGGCAAGACCGCATGTTGCTCCTGAATACCTGCAGTAAAGAAAAACAAAATGATATGCAAAAATGTAACCTCTTCAGACTCTCTCCCCACCCACCCCTTCCACAGGAAGGGGCATATTATAGCTTGCAAAAATCTCCACCAAGGCAAAATTTCAAATCTCAAAGCGAAATCATGCAAAAGGTCATGCAAAATGCAAGAAATAGGAACAGAAGTAAACCATTCAACTCCTCACACTTTCACCATTCAACAAGTTAATGGCTGATCTGATTTTAGCCTCAATTCCACATTCCTGCCTCCCCATAATACCCTTTGACTCTGAAGTCAAAAATCTATCCACCACAGCCTTAAAAAAAGATTCAATGACTTTGTCTCTATTGATCTCAAGCTAAGAGTTTTACAGATTCAAGACCCGGAGAAAAATTTCTCATCTGTCTGAATTGCAGATATCTTATTTTTAAGCTGTATTCTCTAGTTCCAGTATGTCCATGGAGAAACATCCTTTCAACATTTACCAATTCACATCTCTTCAGGGTCTTAATTATCCCTGGTGGTGTTTGACTCTTTGTTTGAGCATCTCTCTCTGGAAATGTGTGACTGTCTCAATCAGCTGTGACTGTGGAAAGGATGTTCTCCACTCTGGCAGTGGTAACATAATCTGTTTGTTAGAATAAGCTGGTCACACTTGACTTCGTACTGAGGAACTATTACGTTGTCTTGGTCCTTCAAGTATCTGCCCCAAATCAATCCAATAAGATAATCTCCAATTCTTCTAAGTGCTAATGGACCCAACCTATTGGATATGATTCTCTTACTGGAAATCAAGTATTAAATAATCCAGACTATTTCTTGGATGTGATTTGAGACGTCTATAGCAAAAACAGGCTTTATCTGTTCAACTTTTCATCATTTCCTTATTTTCCATTTATTATCTGGACTCTGCTCTATTGGATAAATGCTCCCTTTACTTACTCTTGTCCTTTTAAATACCTGTACAAATTCTTACTATACTTGTTTTCAGCTAGCCTCTCTCATTCTCCATCATTATTCTTTTAGTCAGTTTTTGCTGTTTGTTATGTTCTAGCCAATCTTGTCCTGTAATCAGTCTTTGCAGAATATGCTTATTCTATAAATGTGATATTATCTTCAACTCACTAGTTAGCGCAGTGGATGTATCCTTCCCCCAGTTTTACATACCAGCAAGAATGAACTTTCAATCTTCTGAAATATTTCCTTAAATATCTGCCACTGCTTGTCTATTGACCTGTCTTAATTTCCCAGTTCACTTTAGCCAACTGTCATCATACCATAATAACTGTGCTTACATAGGTTTAGAACATGAGACTTAGGCCTACTCTACTCCTCCTGAAAGTGAATTCAAAATTTAATCATATTAGTCACTGCTACCTTAACGACAACTTTACTATTAAGTCATTAATTAGCCCTGTCTCATTACATCACATCAGTGCATCCAAATATTGGTAGAGGAAGTATAAACACTCTCCAGAGGGCTGGATGGATAACTTTAGGTACTTCAGCCTCAGTGGTCCTAGAATTTGAAACTGAGCAATTATCCAAAACGTGAAGTTATACTCTTATATTCCATTAACTCAAAGTGCTTTTCAATGCTAGAACCACCGTTCATCCAAAACGCAAGCAAGTCAAAATGGTCAAAAAGTCAAATTGATATTTTGCCTCTCTGCATTAGGAGAGCAGAAAGTATGTATTTTAGTTTATTTTAACGATAACAATCACCCCTCATGCCCTCAGCTTATTTCGCTCATGAAGTTCACCTCTTATTCCCTCTGTTCTATTCCCACCAAATTGCTGATTTCCTCAGGGATATTAATAAGCATTTCTGCCTTTTCAGATATTGTTCTTCCCTTCCTTTAAATCTGTTAACACCCACACCTCAAAAAAATTCACTCCACATGCTGATGAACTACCATTCCCATCTCTAAACGCAAACACCATTCTCCAAACTAGTTTCTGCACTTGTCACAGGCCTTAAATAGCTTGAATCAAAAAGTCACAAATTAAACCCGATGTAACGTGATAAGGGCAAACATTCCCTCTTGATCCTTAATATATTACAGCCTTTGAAGGAGTTTGGAGAAATAAACTGTTTCAATGACTCCATCATCCAGCTGCATGGATCCGCTCTTGCCCGATTCTATTCTTACCCATCATATAACCTGAAAGTTGCTTGCCTTGGATCCTCTTCTTGCTCCTGCACCGTTACCTCTGAAGTCCCTCAAAAGTTCTATTTTTGGCATCATCCTATTTCTCAATTACATGCTGCCCTTCATTGACATCTGAAAGAACAGCATTACGTTTTTTTCACATATGCTGATGACAATCAGTTCAGCTCCACCACCACTCTCAACTCTCCACAGCTAATAAATTATTAGATTGCTCATCTTGACACATCCAGTACTGGAAAAGCAGAAATATCCTCCAATTAAATTTTGGGAAGACTGATATCATTGTCCTCACTTCAATTTCTGTTCCCTGACAACAGACTGAATCCCTCTCCTGGGCAACAGCAATTAAGTGAGTCATTCACAATCTTGATGTCACATTCAGTACAAAGATGAGCTTCTGACCTCACGTTCATACCAGTAAGATTTCAATTTTCATCTCCATACACTGCTTGATTTCATTTGCCAAAATTCTCATTCTGGCCCATTATCTTGAGCAGCAATATTCCAATACATTCCTGGCTAACTTCCCAATTTCTACCATCCATAAACTGGAGGGAATTCAAACCTCTGCTGCCCATTTCCTAGCCCTCAGGTAATCCTGCCCCTCTATTACCCTTGTCCTCACTGACCTACATCAGCTCTGACCAAGGTATACCTTGTTTTCTAAAATTTCATCTGTTTTCAAATCTGTCCATGGCCTTAACTGTCCCTGTCCCCAATCTCTTTCAACTCCATTAAGCGATCTGCGTTTAAATTCTAGTGTCTCGGACATCCTGGTGTTTTGACTCAGACATCCCGGTGTTTTGACTGTTTAAGCGCAGTGGGTGTGCCTTCTGTCACCTAGACTCAAGGTAAGAAATACCTTCTCTACACTTCTTCCTCTCTGTATGATTTATGACTTTTTTATGACTCTTATAAAAACTCTTGAAAACCCACCACTTAGCAAGCTTTTGGTCTCTGGACTCCCCCTGCTTGGCTCATTATCATATTTTGTTTTCAGAATGTTTGTGTGAAGCACTTCGAAACATTTACTCATTTTAAAAGGTACGACATAAATAAAATTTATAGAAAATTGGTCACAATAAAAGCTGCCCTTGACTTGGCAAAGTTCAGATAAACAGAAACAAATATTGCTACAAAAACAGATCAACTGAATCAAGATCGCTCCCAAAGCCTCCCAAAATATTAAATTTTTTTGTTTTGTAGAAACCACAAAATGATGATAAGATTTAGTATTTCATTTGGGATTTGGAATAAATAGTAAAATCAAGCTTGGCTCTGTGAATAGAATGTGTCTTGTAAGAGGTCAAAATAATTTCTGAACACTGAGTTTGAACATTGTTATATGCTTTCTTGGAAAATGACTGGTAAGCTACCTGGGTAGTTAGTTGATGAAATTCTTGCAAAGTTGAGCTTTTTTGATGTACACAAAAAAAAAGTTGAGGGGCCACAAACAGACTTCAGTTACAAAGAACAGATTTATACTGGAAGATCAGTTTACTCAGGTTTTCAGAGTTAGAGAGAAGTCTTGAAGCTGCTTTGGCAGCTTAATGTGGAAGGGATTTTTCTTAAAGTTTCATTAGGAAATCAGAGATGTAAACAGTTTCTGTGTATCTCAGGGCAAGAAAGTAACAGAGAATCACATTTTGGTCACCAAAATGCTTGCAACCGTATCAGTTAAGCAAGACAAAACTGAAGTAGGAGTGATATTGCGCTGACATTATGTTTTTACAGACACATTGCTGTGAACATACACTGGGTGGGTTGGGGCGGTGGGGAAGGGGAAGAAAGTAATTAACATTAGATAGATGTTAAAAAGAATACAAAGCCTGGTGTAAATATATTCAATTACTGACACAGTAACCAAACAGCAAAAATAAGAAAAAAAACTTATCTATCAAGGTTTCATGTGGGATTTGGGATCAGTCCAAAGATATACAGGTTAGGTGGATTGGCCATGTTAAATTGCCTGTAGTGTCCAGGGATGTGCAGCCTAGGTGGTGGATTAGCCATGGGAAATGAAGGGTTACAGGGATAGAGTGGATGCTGTTCGGACAGTTAGTGTGGACTCGATGGGCTGAATGGCCTACTGTAGGGATTCTATGATCTGACTTCTTACCATCTGCTGCAGTCATAACATTATGTTCATGGAATGTGAACATTTAAATTTTAAATAAAGACTCAGCACAGAAGGCCAAGTCAAACAGGAAAAACTTCAATTTTCCTTTTCACAGATGAGATTTTAAGGACAGTCATCAAGCTAATAATGTTCAGAATTGAAGTGTTAAACAATTAAATTTCCCTACATGCATATTTAGTCGTGGTCTAACTTTAATGGATAGACATGGTGACTCCGAATCATTTTTGAAAACAAGTTGTAGCTGGAATGCATTCCTTTGCATCTAACACTAATTTGAAGGATAGGAATTTAATCATGATGGTATCAGACCGACCACTGTTGAAAGATCACAAACGAAGAAAGGTACTTCCTTAGCTCTATAACATGTAGTAACACATTTGAACTAACTGTCTGTCTATCTCCCTGTACCACTCTGCAGACTCAGTCATACTCATCACTTGCCACCTATTTTTGTGTCATCAGCAAACATGATTTCACTTCCATTCTCCAAGTCACTAATATTGCAAATAATTGTGGCTCAGCACCAATCCCCGTGGAACTCCTGTTTGCCATCCTGAAAACCCTTATCTCAATTCTGTCTTCTTTTTGTTGGCCAATCCTCCATCCATGCTAATAGCCTACCCCAACACCATGGGCTCATCTTATTAAATAGCCTGATGTATAGTACTTTATTAAACATATCCTGAAAATCCAAGACTATGGCTTCCCCTTTATCTACCCCACTTGTTATTTCTTCAGAAGAATTCTAGTAATTTTAACAGGCATGACTTCCCCTTTCTGAAACCATGCTAGTCAAATGAATTTCTAAATGCTCTATTATATCCTTTATAAAAAGACTAGGATTTGTTATTTGGAAAATGCTAAGCTAACTGGCCTATAGTTACTGGTTTATATTTAGTTAAATGTTTGTCGTCTTCCCTTTCTAAATACAGGTACTGCCAGAAGCCTTTGAATCTCTGAAAGGGAGATGGTCAGTCTCTCTCTCTCTGTGCTTGTAGAAACAAAAAGCCTGAAGAAAGCCAGTTTATTTGCACTCATCAATTGCTGTGAACAGTCTTTTAAGAAGCTTCTAAGAGATCTTTTCCAATTCGTGAACGAGTCACCCTGCAAGAAGGTGTAGTCGTACTTGGATAAAGAGGAATCGATTAACAGCAATTCCTAGTAAGGAAAACGATCATGTCAGTTAATCCTGTGATCAGGAACCATTGAACAACCTTCCTAGATTATCCTTCTACCAATAACAAATTTTTTTGTTATATTATGTGCATAATGGGAGTTTTATAAGGGAGTTAGAGTTTTCAGTAGTAGAGCTAAATGTCAACAGTTCATAGCGGTTTATAACAAATAAATAGATTCTAGCAACAGGTAATTATTGTTGCCAAGTACAGAATCCCGATATGTCCTGTTAAGTGGGTGTGAAAGGGACAGAAATTGAAGGATCTTGCATAGTCGGTTCTGCTATAAACATGATAGCTGCATTTCTGCACAACATCGTGTTATAGAAAAGTGCGCTATAGAAATAACGGGCCTATAGGAAGAGGAGGATTGGGGCAGACCACCAAAACAAAAATCAAAAATCGCTCAAAAATCACTCAAAAGCCCAACACAAAGGATAGCACAGTTTGAATATATGCTTAATTCATATCCAATAATGAAATAAAAAGTAAATTTAACAACTTTTTCTTCTTTCATAGGGTGCCAAATAAGATTTTATTCCATGAACTGCTACCCTGCTGCATTCTGCATTGTAATCGTTGTTTTCCAAGAGTTGCAACTGCTTCATAATTTCCCTCAGGATAGAAGACAAAACAGAAGTGGAAAGCTCTCATGGTGCTGCATCCTGAACTTGATCTTCATCTCCAGCTTCCACTTTGTTGTAGATGAACTGTAGAGAGGTCTTCACAGTGGGACGCAAGTAGTTCCTCAATATCCTCAACCTCCACATCTTCAAATCCAGCTTGCTTTACAAGATCAACACAATGTTCTTTGATTCTTGGGAGCTCTTCTGACAGATCAAAGCCTTGAAAATCTTTGAAAATCTGGGAGAAGCTTTCGCCAAACTCCCTGCAAGCAATAATTACTGATATCAGCCCAGGCCTCCATGATAATGTCAATTGCAGTCTTGATGTTAAAAGCTCTTCCAAAATTGAACAGCACTGTCCTTATCCCCTTCAGTGGCTGCAATCAGCTTCTTAAATGTGCACCTTAAATAATAAACTTTAAAAGCTGCTATTGCATCCTGGTCCATGGGTTGAAGGAGAGAGATTGTGTTTGGGAGCAGAAATAGCATTTTGTTTTCAGAAGGCTCACCAACAGTGGGAGCATGGCTTGGTGCATAATGTGGGATAAGGAGAATCTTTAAATCCAAATTGTTTTTCCTGCAATACTCTTGCAAAACATCAACAATAATGATCATGTGACGCCAGCACGCACTAACATTATGCATGCTCAGGATAAAGCCTGTGAAATGATCATGTGATGTTGACGTGTACTCCGTTACGCACCGATGGAATCATGTTGTAGCCAACACAAGTTTGCGTTTTAGATGTAGCGCTCCTCTACTCGTAAGTCACGTTATAGCCAATTCACATTGCCAGAACACGTTATTGCAGAACTGACAGTACTTTTTAAAATCTTTAATTTCTGTCAACTGCAGGAATAGTTCGGCTTGAATTTCAGTATGCCGTGACACTAGCAACTCAGAGAATATTTCCGCACACTGGCCTGACTGATGTTCCATTCCTTTCGTTTTCTTGAATTCCAAGTAGATTTACCACCATCTGTGGTACTGTACAAATGTCCTGGCCCGAGTGAAGTAGCTTCTATTTGCACAGTTCTCTGCTCTTCCAACTAGATGGTATTTCTCTTCTGTATTTACTGCTGATAGGTTTACACAGTCATTAGTAAACCTAATCAGCAGCAAATGAGGAAGAGAAATGCATCCAGTCGGAGCAGCATCTTCTTACAGGATCTTCCAATTCTGCTTCCTGCATTTGGAAGTTCAATTAGGGCCTTTTGGCGGGCCACATTTTGGCAGACTGGGCAACTGTTGCAGAACTGCTCTACCCTGCGCCAGACCTTTCCTTTTGTTTTTCCTGCCCCTGTCAACAGCTGTATCTAAAGCATTTCTACCTTCTTTCAGTTCCGAAGAAGTCATATTGGACACAAAGTGTTAACCCCGTTTCTCCATGATGATGTCAGGCCTGTTAAGTATTACTTCGTATTAGTCGAAAATTTCAAAAGTTTGGTCTTGTCCAGAGAGGGAGTTTTAAAAATAAGACTTAAGCCACACATGTTGCCCTGAGAAACAGGCACCCTCCTCTCACTTACAGGTACAAGGAAATAATTACTTCTTTAAAAAAAAAAATTTTACATGTAGCACTTCCATGAGCACTATATATTAAATGGAACAGCTGTACATAATTAATAACCAATATGATGACAAGAGGTTCTTAAAATTAAAAGATTGCAAATGACATCTATATAATTTCAAAGTTTCAGTAGCTCTATTGAACTTCTGATATAAATATAATTCAAAGTACTGAATATAACTCCACAAATACCTTATGATTCCTCCTATATTGGGGTAAAATTTTGCGACAAGGACTCCTGTGCACACAACCACAATGTTTAGGACGAACACATGTAAAAAACTGCAAGGAGAAAAATATATAGTAAAACAACTGGAAAGTAGCTTGGAAAAACATATGATTGAAGGAGGTGCTGCTAAAATGCTGGCTAGCTGTCAGTTCTAAACTGGATCAGGTGGAACAATAGGTTGCACAGTTTGATTTTACAAGGTAGCAGAGAACATGACAGAACAAAAGACACATCTCAAAGCACGAAGCAAACCCTTCTGGTGAATCATTGTGGGGCTGCCTCACCTAGTGACTTTAAAAAACACGAGTCATTTACTTTCACTCTTCCAACTGATGCAGCAAGTTGGAGGATATCAAGTTGTAGTTGAAAATGTGAATAGCGTGACTAGGTTTTGAGTAAATGGAGTTGTACGGCTGCTACTAGAATTGTAATAATACCTATTAAGTTCCTGGATTATTTTGATAGAGGCTGTGTAAATCCATAATATTACTTTTGGCAGCCATTAGTAAAACCCAAGATTTAATAAAATGATCCCAGGGTTGAGGGACTTGAGCTAAATGGATAGATTGGAGAAGGTATAATTATTCTCTTGAGAAACAAGAAGCATGAAAAGGAAGTTTGATAAAGAAGTCAAAATCATAAGAATCTAGAGAGAGAGTAGTTAGGAATAAAAACTGTTGGAGGGGAACTGAGGAAGTTGAACCAGGGAACTGCCAAAGAACTGAGCAGAAAAGATTGACAGTGCTACGGGAAAAGGCAGGCAGCTCCAAGAAAATCAAAAGCTCAACATCATCCAGGATGAAAGAGGTTGCTCGAATGCACCACATCCACAAACATTTAATCCTCCACTACCACCACTCAGTAGCAGCAATATTTAACATCTACTAAACATACTGCAGACATTTACTAAAGTTCCTCAAACAGCAGCCCCCTAACCGTAGCCACTAGAAAGACAACAGCAGCACATACATGGAACACTACCACCTGCAAGGTCCCCTCAAAGATACTCATCATCCGGACTTAGAAATTTATTGCCTTCAGTGCAACTAGGTCAAAATCCTGGAACATCTTCCCATAGGATTGAGTTTGCCTACATCCCAAGGATTGCAGGGATTTAAAGGTGGCAGTTCACCACTACCTTCTCAAGGGCAATTCAGGATGATTAATAAATCCTGGCACAGTCAGAGAAGGCCAAATCCAAATGAATGAATTAAAAAGTGGAACTGATTCTTATCCTCGAGAGAGCCAACACAATACAACAGGCTCAAATGGCCTTCTTCTGCATTGTTACCATTCTGAAATTCTAGTTTAGCTACATTATTAGAGTAAGAGTAAAGCAGAAGAGATTGGTGGCAGTCAACCCAAAAAACGTTAACAGCAAACATGCAGTAACTAGCTTCCCAGTGCTTCCACCAGATTAAAGTTCAGAACAAGTTAACTAGCTATCATCTAGTCAGGTACAGCAATGTTTCACAAACACAATCTTTCAACATCCAACTTGGAAAACTTCTGCACTGTATACTCTGGCTGTTGAAATTGTTAAATTCGTTGGGGAAAAAAATTGAATTACATCACACCTTGGATATGCTTTTCCAAACAACTGGCCCAGTAGTTGCACACGAATCAGATAACCCAGTAATGGATAAACAGTTGTCATTTGAAAGAGCAGGAAGACCCTGGAAATGAAGGCCATGATATCACTGCTTGGCAGGTTATCCAAAAAGTTCTGCAAGAGATGAACAAATCGTTAAAGTAAAGATACAAGGTTAACAGAAAGCCAATGATAGCATAGCAGAGGTCAAAATACCTGTGCAGACTTTGTTTGTTTGAGATGTAGATTTGTAGTACAATATAGCTTTTCTTGAATATGGATTCTAAAAGTTGGGGTAAATGAATTTTTTGTTTTCATTCTTTGAAGGGACCTTTTGATCAGAAAATAATTTTTTCAAAAGAACGTTTAAGAAGTCTTTCGATTAAAGGATGCAATTCCAGATAAGTGACTAGCAAGGTAGCTGCGGAGTTAACTGAAGTAACGTTTACAAATTAGAAGGGCTGGAAGTGCTGGAAAGTAGTCTTGAACTGTTTAGCAGTTCAAGTAGACAGGGCTTTTCTTTAAGCTTAATTAGGAAATGTCAGTGAGTTAGTGAGTGTCTATGTATCTCAGTATCAATAGTATATATCTGGTGGAGATGCATAAAGTTTGAAAGGTGACATTTATAATTCCAGTTAACTAAGAAATTAAAGACTTGAGAATGTTTTTTTTTCATGGAGATGCAGCAGCGCTAGCTAGACCAGCATTTATTGCCCAAGTTTAATTGGAGGGCAATTAAAAGTCAACCACATTGCTGTTGATCTGGAGTCACAAGTAATGATGATGGATTTCCTTCCTCAAAAAGGACACAATGAACTAGACAGATTTTTACAACAATCAACAATAGTTTAATGGTCCAGAGACTAGAATCTGCACAAGGTTAAAATCAACTGTCCCAAAGTTATTCCGTATAAAACACTATTTAAAAATAAACTAAACATTTCATTACCAGTCTGTCTACTGCAGATCATGATTTTTTTTAAGCAGTGAGGGGAATAACGGCCTTGATTTTAATTTGTACTGCTTTCTGGAATTCAGATGCTAACAGCAGGATAAGCAATAAAATGACAAATTTATTTACCTTCTCTAATTCCACTGCTTTATAATCCTCACTGCATGTTTTGAGCAGGATGCCAGCAGAAACCAAGCTTGAAATACTTATCAAGTCAGATGGCATTACTGTGATCCAATCTGCAAGCACAGTCTGTCACGGGAGTGAGCATGGATAGTTTCTACAAAGTCCACACATGTTGAAGCAGCTTGTGGACTAGACAAAATTCAAAAGGGAGAATTCAAAAAAAAACTGAAATTTTTTTCTCCATTAAAAATTGACTTCATGGACTCCCCAAAAATTGCCACTGGAGCCAGGAACCATTGTGCAGTTGAGGCTCTTGCCACATCTCCATGCCAAAACTGATGCCATTCCTGATCCTCACTCTGGAGGTGGATCTGGCTGGGACTCAGGAACCCAACCTCATGTCAAGATCACACAGTCTTTACATCCCATTTCCCGAGATGTTGCAGTAGCAACTACATTTATATATCATTTTCTATAGAATAAACACTCTCAAGATTCTTCACAGGAGCACTGTCAAATAATTTGATACAAAAAAAAAGGAGATACCTTTTAAGAAGTTTCTTAAAAGAAGAAAAAGGAGACGGAGACATACAAGGTGCGAATACAAGCAACCAACCAAAACGTAAGAATCATGGAGCAATTAAAGCCAAGGAGGCAGAATTGGAGGTGTGCAGGAGATTTATAGGGCTGGAGAAGTTTAGAGATATATAAAGACAAGGTCATGTAGGGATTTGAAAACTAGGGCAAGAATTTTATATTAAAGAAGGTCTTTCTTAATGTGGTGGTCTATGTTTTTAGTTATCACAGGGGTGATGAGTACCTTGGCGCAAGTTTGCAGACAGGAAGACCTTTGGGTGAACTCCAGATTACAAAGCATAAAAAAGGAGTCCACTGAAGTAGCCACGTCTGTCAGTACTAAAAGCATGGATGAGGGTTTCAGCAGTTCAGCTGAGGTGTTGGGCAATGGTACAGAAATGGAAATAGGTAGTCTTTGTGATGGCAGTGATATGTTGTTAGCAGTTCATTGCAGGATCAAAATGACAAGCTGTGCATAGTTTACTTCACCCTCAGCCAATTTCCAGAGAGGAGGATGTAACGTACCTGGAGGCCCAAAATAATGGCTTCAGTCTTCCAAATATTTAGCTACTCATTTTGTCACAATAGAATTTTAACTATTCAAAATGCAATGCCAAGGTTCTTGCTACAAACAGAAAAAGTACAAAGCTCTCTTAAAAGATGATTAAATACCAGAAGACATTAAGACAAACTTGGATAAAAATCAGCTAATATGGTCTTTTATTAGATTAAATGCAAAATAACCAATATCTCAGCTATCACAGCCAGCAGATACCAGCAAAATGGGAGGGGGAGGTTCAATACCAGCAAGTTGTATCATGCTAGGTTATTCCATTCACTTTTAATGGTATGTTATCAGAGGTTATATGTAACAAAACGATTTCTTTACCAGTTTTCTCTCTCTCGTACAAATTTGTACATAAAATGTTGTTAGATTGTTGATTATTAGAAGGACAGAAATTCAATGCCTAAGGAGGTTAACACTTGCACAATACTAAGACAGTGCTGCAATGTCAGAAAAGAGTCATCGTTTAGATGGAATGTTGAGTGCAGCCAACCAGACTGGAATGACAGCCAAGGATTAAACATCAGCTGGTCGAAAACGGACAAGAACTGAAGCAGGCAACTTCAGTTATTTAAAGTAGTGATACAAAGCAAAAAAACCAATTGGCTGCATTCTCTCTTCTGCTGCAGGCTGCACTTTTCAGAAAGACAGAATGCTGGAGAAGCGCAGATCTAGTAGCAGAGAGAGAATCAGAGTTAACATTTTAAGTTGGGCATGACTCTGTCAGAACTCTGACCAAGTTCTGAAGAAGAGTCATACTGCTTTGAAAACGTTAACTCTTCCTCTCTCCACAGAGAGCCCTGGTGAGTTTCTCCAGCATGTGCAGTATTTTGCTTTTATTGGAGCTCTTTTCTAGACTTGTTTAATCTGTTTAAATTCAAAGAAAATGTAGACTGAAGTCCTGTAAGGACAGGGTGGTGATTGTAATGAGGTCAGCCAGGGGGACATCGCAGAATGAGTTCCCCGATTGGACCAGATTAACAACCCCAATCAGGGAGCCCTGGCTGACAGATATAAAACAGGACGGTCAGAGGCTCTGTTCAAACAGAGCTGGCTCTGAGGAACTGGACCTATATCAAATATTATGCGCATGTAAATAAAGGGTGACTTTGTGACGGGATACTAGCCTTGAGTTATTTCAATCAGCATGCTGCCAATGAATCTCAAACTGCTACCTTCATTCTTCTGGATACCAATGTTTAAAAAGGCTTGCATGGTGTCATGGCAGTTTAGCAATCTGTTCTCCAACACATGACTCAGTTCCCTGTGGCTTTGAATGTAGCAATCTGTCTCCTCAATCACAGCATTCATTGACTCACCACCATCATTCTGCCAGTGTTTTCCGATTACCAGCCAGACAATCTCTACTCGTCCAGAGGAGGAAATGCCTGAGACTGGGCCTTTTGGAGCAAGGCCATACACACAGTTTCCTCTACTGAATGTCAGCAGCCTTCCAGTTAAAGAAAAAGTCTGGAAGAATCTCATGATGACCATGAAACCAAATTGTCAATTGTCAGAAAAAAAAACCCATCTGGTTCATTAATGTCCTTCAGGGAAAGAAATTTGCCATCCTCACCTGGTCTGGCCTACCTGTGACTCCAGACCCACATCAATGTGGTGGGCTCTCAACTGCCATTAAATAGCCTAGCAAGTCAGTCAGTCAGTTGTACCAATCACTACAAAGTCTCAAAGAAATGAAATTGCATGGATCACTTGGCATCAACCTAGGCACCAGAAAGAGCCCCACTGACCCTGCAAAGTCCTTCTTACTATTATCTGGGAGCCAGTGCCAAAATTGGGAGAGCTATTTCACAGACTAGTCAAGTAACAGGCTGACAGGTATACTCATGGAATCATACCTTAGAGACAATCTCCCAGACACAAACATCATCCCTGGATATGCCCTGTTGTAGACCCAGAGGTGGCGACAGTGGTACACACTCGGGAGGGAGTTGCCCTGGGAGTCTTCAACAATGGGGTTCAGAGTCATGAAGTCTCATGGCTCACGTTAAACATGGGCAAATAAACCATGTACCGACCTCCCTCAGCTGATGAATTGGTACTCCTCCATGTTGGACACCACAGAGGAAGCATTGAGGATAGCAAGGGCACAAAATGAAACCTGGGTACGGGATTTCAACGTCCATTACCAAGTATGGCTCAGCAGCAGAACTACTATCAAGCCGGTCAGGTCCTAAAGGACTGGATCTGCAGCAGGTGGTGAGGGAACCAAAAGGGCAAAACATACTTGACCTTATCCTTACCAATCTGCTGGCTGCAGATATATCTGTCCATGACAGTATTGGTAAGAATGACCAGTGCACAGTCCTTGTGGAGACAGAGTCCCTCCTTCACATTGAGAAAAACCTCCATTGTGTTGTGTGGCACAATCACCATGCTAATGGGACAGACTTCGAGCAGATCCAGCAACTAAAGAATGGGCTTCCATGGGGCATTGTGGACCATCAACAGCAGAATTGAACTCCAGCATAATCCGCAACTTCTTGGCCCGGCATATCCCCAACTCAACCATTACCATCAAGCCAGGCAATCAATCCTGGTTTAATGGAGAGTGCAGGAGGGCATGCCAGGAGTGGCACCAGGTATTCCTGAGAGGAGATTTCAACCTGGTGAATGTGCCAAACAGGACTACTTCCTGCTTATATTGTTTGGCATGCAAGCAGAGCTAAACGATCCCACAACTGATGGATCAGAGCTTAGGCTCTGCAGTCCTGCCACATCTAGTCATGAAATGGTGGTGGACAATTAAACAACTCACTGGAGGAGGAGGCTCCACAAATATCCCCATCCTCAAGTGATGGAAGGGCCCAGCACATCAGTACAAAAAAATGAGGCTGAAGCTTTCACAGTAATCTTCAGCCAGAAGCGATGAGCGGATGATCAATTTCAGCCTCCTCCAGTGGTCCTCAGCACCACAGTAACCAGTCTTCGGCCAATTTGCTTCATTCCATGTGATGTCAAGAAATGGTTGGAAACACTGGATACAGCAAAGGCTATGGACCCTGACAACATTCCAGCAATAGTACTGTGCTCCAGACCTTGCTGCTTCCGTACCCAAGCTGCACCAGTACACAGTTACAACACTGGCATCTAACCGACATTATGGAAAACTGCCCAGGCACGTCCTGTACATAAAATACAGAACAAAGCTAACCTAGCCAACTTCCACCCCGGTCTACTCTTCATCAGTAAAGCGATAGAAGATGAAGAGTGTTATCAAGCAGCACCTGCTTCATGACGCCCAGTTCGGGTTCCACCAGGGCCATGCATCTTCTGACCTCATTACAGCCTTAGTTCAAACATGGGCAAAGAAGCTGAATTCCAGAGGTAAGGTGAGAGTGACAGCCCTCAACATTAAGGCTGCATTTAACTGGGTGTGGCATCAATGAGTCCTGGCAAAACTGGAATTAATAGGTATCGGGGGCAAACTCTCCACTGTTTGGAGTCATATCTGGCACATGGGAAGATGATCATGGTTGTTAGGAGGCTAGTCATCTCAACTCCAGGACATCTCTGCAGAGAACTCTGCAGTTCCTCAGAGTGGTGTCCTAGGCCCAAACATTTTCATCTGCTTTAACGACCTTCCCTTCATCACAAGGTCAGAAGTGGGAATGCTCACCAATGATTGCACAATGTTTAACACCATTTGCAACTCCTCAGATACTGAAGCAGTCCATGTTTAATTGCAAGATCTGGATAGTATCCAGGCTTGGGCTGACAAGTGGCAAGTGACATTTGTGTCACACCAATGCCAGGCTATGACCATCACCAATAAAGAGACAATCCCTTGACATTCAATGGTGTTACCGTCACTGAATCCCCCACTACCAATATCCTGGTGTTATCATTGACCAGAAACTCAAATGGACTCAGCACATAAACACAGTGGACACAAGATTAGGTCAGAGACTAGAAATACTGAGGCAAGTAACCTCCTGACTCACCAAAGCCTGTCCACCATCTACAAGGCACAAGTCAGGAGTATGATAGAATACTCCCCACTTGCTGGCATGGGTGAAGCTCCAACACCACCCAAGAAGCTTGACACCATCCGCGATAAAGCAGCCTGCTTGATTGACACTACGTCCACAAGCATCCACTCCTTCCACCGACGCTCAGTAGCAGCAGTGTGTACCATCTACAAGATGCACTGCAGAAATTCACCAAAGATCCTCAGACAGCACCTTCCAAACCCATGACTACTTCCATTTACAAGGATAAGGGCAGCAGATACTTGGGAACACCACCCTCCAGCTACTCAGCACCCGGACTTGGAAATATATTACCATTTCTTTACGAGCACTGTCTCAAAATCCTGGAATTCTGACCCTAATAGTATTGTGGGTCGACCCACTGCAGGTGGACTGCAACGGTTCAAGACGACAATTCACCACTGCCACCTTCGAGGGCAATTAGGGACAGACAATAAATGCTGGCCAGCCAGCGACACCCATAATCCACAAATGAATAATAAAGAAAAACACCACTGGGTAGCACTGTTCGGAAGCCACAGGACAAGCAAACATACTGATAAGCAAATATATGATGTGATTTGTATGGTTTCAAATTATAAATTTGGTTTTGAATGTTTACTTTTTAATTACTTTTCATTTTTGCATTGTAGACAAGCTGACTTTTAGGGTTAATAGTGGACGTCCGATATGGAACAGCTGGTGAAGGAGTATTATGATTGACTTTTCCAATATTAACAATTGGATGAACAGACAAACAAACAAGTGGCTACAGTCTGCTCTGCTTAACAAGTGTTTCTTCAACGCAAACTGGCTTTAACACAATTGAAGAATTTAGACTTATTTGTAGAATGTGAACTTTCCTTACCTGTACTGGCTAAAATGTGATTCCAGTCCCATTAGTTTAAATGGCGTGGCTATTACGCCATTTTCTTATAACGCACGATCGCACGAGAACGGGACTATCATGTTATATCAGAACCGACTGTATTTTGATTACAGTCTCCTTCTCTCATTGTTGGTGGCACAGGCAGTGCAGCATAAAACGGGCCACACAAATCAACATACTCACTCTGGTGCACAGTCGTCCATATAGCAAAAGGGTAGCTCAAGTAAGCCAATGGGCTGTTCCAGTCCATTTCATGCGGCAGCATTGCTTTCATTATGCATGCTCCGACATGGCTTCCAGTACGGAGCCTTTCTTCTTCCTCTTTCTGCATTTTGCACTTTTCCTATGTTTATATGACTGAGGGGAATGCAGTCTACTGTACCCATTTGTAAGGCTGTGGATTATACAAAATCCTTGATATCGATCCTTGTCCATTTGCTGCAGACTTCAGCCCTTCCAACAGTTTAGGAAATACTAAACACACAGTGAAATCAATTGACAAGCCGAAAGTAGTTGATCAACCCCTTAAATAGTACAGGGGTGCAGATTCTTTTGACTGAAGAATGTGTGTTAACCTGTATGAGGTTGAGAGATGGTGCAAGTTGGAGCATTGAACTCCAAAATGTCAAATCAGCATCACATGCTGACTGATGTCACTACATGTATACTTCTGATGGACGTCATCGTGTGTGCTCTCAGATGCCATCACAGAAACAGCTTCAAGGACAGCTAATTTAGATACAAAAAACCTTATAGCCCTGATACACAGGGCTGAATTTCATGGTACATTGCTAACACTAGCACAAAGCTTTCAAAAACACATTACTGCCAAATGTACACATGGCATTTTAATTAGGTGTGTCCACAAATGGTCTTTCCATTCCTGATTAAACATCAGCTGCATGTGCTCAAGTTCAAAGACAGACCTGCCAATGAAGTATGATGGAAGAACATTATTTATGCAAAGAAATTAGAAACACCTGAGAAATTCTACTCCTTCAAATACCACTATCTTCTGCAGGAACCTTTGGGAAAATTAAAATCACTTACAATTATTCTTTCCAAGTCAACTCCCTAGTTTTTGGTTGTATATACTGGCCACAAGATCTTTGCAGCTAGAATTTGTTCAACCATTCCCCCTCCTCCTGTTTTGCTGCCCTTACCCCCAGCAAATATGAAAATGTTCTCTTTTGCCCACCACCAAGGCATTTTGACATACCGGCTCAATGCACTCTTCGGATAGTGCTGGGGAGGGAAATGCAGCAAATGTCATCACTGCAACATAGAGATACGTTAATCCCACGAGTAGATAGGCAATGGAAAGATCTCGAACCTGAAGAAGATAAATAATAAATTAATTCTGTATAGAGGCATAAGACAAGAAAATCAGCTTTCATCCAAACCAACCGGTTTTAGCTAAAAGCAAACTACCGGTGTGTACAATGGGAGGAATCCTTTTCATTTCTTTTTGTTTGTTTTTGTTTGTTGTAATGTCATGGAACCTGTTTGTTGAAAGATCACCAAAGAAGAAAATGTTTTCAGAGAACAATAACATTGAAGTTTTGCAGCCTGATAAAAAGTTGTTTATGAGAGGAACTCCAGTTTCAAGTGGGTTGACTCTGCATTTCTGGAGAACTATTCACTGAATACATTAAAAAGATGCTTTATGACATTGCTGGCTGAACATTCTGATTTCAAGAAAACATGCAGCATGTTTCACTGGAATTAATAAACTGGGGATGTATTAAACAAACACAATTTCATACTTTGTCAAAATAAACAGCAGCAGAATACATTTCAACTATAGCAAATTTTAGCCTGACGTTTGAAAGATCGCTCAAGGGAGAGTTAGTTCTACTGTGCCACTTTATTTGATATGCAATTCACTGATACATGGACTGTATAACGATAAACATGACATATTGCTGAAAATAATGACTTCCCTGTGTTTTTTCAACTTTCTCCTTAACACCGATATTGCATTAGAAGACAATGTTAATTGCTTGAGCAAGTGGACTCTGATTGGTACAGGTATTGAAATGGAGAATGATCCAGGTAGATGATGGACTGTTAACTATCAAGCTTAAAGTCAAACCAAGCAAATTGACTCTGATTGATTAAAGCAATGCCCCAATAGTTGAACCAGAGGAGAACGACACTCACCCATTTTGTTCATTTGCAACAGGCAGTGCATACGTATGTCTGGAACAAGAGCCTGTTTATTAATATGCCGGTATATCCCACACAATGAGCCCAACAATTTTAAAATAGATAGTCAGTGTAATTCTTAGCACACAGTTATTAAGTAAATGGTGTCCAATTACAACCACTTCACGTCAGCACTAAATGAAAAGTCATGTAGACTTGAAACGTTCGCTTGCTGTCTCTCCATGGATGCTGCCTAACCCACTGATCTCCAGCAATTTTTTGTTTTCAGTACAGATTCCAGCATCTGCAGTAATTTGCTCCGACAATCACATCTAGTGTTGGGCACTTTGAGCTTTGCAAGCATGTTGGCTGCTTGTACACAAAGTACATGCATTTTGCCAGCTTCAACCTAACTAGTTGGGCAACTCCTTCACTAAAGTCAACCTGCCTTGTTTAAAGTTTAATCAAAACTTGTAGTTAACTTTCAGTCAGTCATCGGAAACATTTCAGGGGCATTGTACACAAAATGTTAACTTTGCCTTGTCTTTACAGATGCTGCCAGACCTGCTGAATCTTCCAGCAATTTCTGTTTTAGTTTTGTTCTGGATCATCTAATCACTTATACCAATCTAAATCCACTTTGCACACAAAATCAAATATTCTGTTCCCTTTTACATGGGCATTCTTGCCTGAAATTAGGAGCAAGATTAGGCCATTTGACTCCTTAGGTTTGGTCTGCCATTCAATAAGATCATCTGTCACATTCCAACCTTTCGATTCCTCACGTGTTGAGAATCTGCCTTAAAAAGATTCAAAGACACTTTTGCAAAAGATGGTATAACAGTTTCAAAGACTGTCTTAAATAGTTATCAGGAGGTCAGTTCTGCTTAAAAATGCCAAGTTTCAGAAGCACCCACATGAGAAAACATCCTTTATGTATGCACTCTGTCAGAAGAAAATCTTTAACAAAAAGATATCTTTTTGCAGCAATGCTCGAGTTCATACAGCAGAAACATGACAAAAAATGATCCTGAGCTAAATCATCTGGGCACAAGAGTAGGATCTTACTTTATCACAGAAAGGAAAACAGCCTGGACCACTTTGCTGCCCTTGGTGGTGGATTAAAGCAACACCTAAGATGTTTCCTTCTTATGCATCCCTAACTTCTGACTTTACACTCCAGCATCGAAAGCAGGTTTAAGCACAATATCCTCAAAATTTTCCCTGGAATGTTTCAGTCGGCTCTTGATTTAGCTCTTAAGCAAAGTCCCAAGTTGGTGCTCTCTTTCTTTTCAATACCAATAGGATTTTGCAAATTTAAACATACTTTGTAAATTAAGGACTAAACAACAGGAGACAATGTTGGTGAGTCTTTTCTGTGACATTTGCTACTTTAGTCTCCCTGTTCCACATTCCAGAATGACTTGTTATGGGATTGAAATGGTAATGTTTTCCATGTTTTCAAAATATGATATTGGACAGCAAGCAGCAAGTCACTTCACAAAAAGCCTCCAAATGAAACTTCTCAAATACAACATGTAGAATGAACGCAATTTTCATAATAGCAACACAAATGCTTAGATTTTTAGTTTCAGAAAAGGAAAATTTATTGCTGCTGAATTTCCATCCTTAAGCCAGTAAGCATATCTAAATAAGGTTCAACATCATTGGTCTTTAAAATGTTCCTCAAGTGACTTGAAGGAAATTCCTTTTCCTAAAGACACTACATAAATATACCCAGTTATGCTACTAACTTAGCAATAATAATTAATTTCAAGGTGTTGTAGGTATGTCAGTGGTATTTTGGGCTGGAAACTCTATAATTGCATCCAGATTTGCATCACAACTGGAAATCAACGCATCATCCTCTGACACTTCCGCCATCTGCAATCCGATCCCACCACCAAAGACATTTTTCCCTCCCCACCCTTATCTGCTTTCCGGAGGGACCACTCTCTCCGTGACTCCCTTGTCCGCTCCACACTCCCGGCACTTTTCCCTGCAACTGCACGAAGTGCTACACCTGCCCCAACACATCCTCCCTCACCCCCATCCCAGGTCCCAAGAAGACTTTCCACATCAAGCAGATGTTCACCTGCACATCTGCTAATGTGGTATACTGCATCCGGTGTACCCGCTGAGCCTCCTCTACATCGGGGAAACCAAGCGGAGGCTTGGGGACCGCTTTGCAGAACACCTACGCTCGGTTCGCAATAAACAACTGCACCTCCCAGTCGCGAACCATTTCAACTCCCCCTCCCATTCCTCAGACGACATGTCCATCCGGGGCCTTCTGCAGTGCCACAACAATGCCACCCGAAGGTTGCAGGAACAGCAACTCATATTCCGCTTGGGAACCCTGCAGCCCAATGGTATCAATGTGGATTTCACAAGTTTCAAAATCTCCCCTCCCCCTACCGCATCCCAAAACCAGTCCAGCTCGTCCCTGCCTCCCTAACCTGTTCTTCCTCCCACCTATCCCCTCCTCCCACCTCAAGCCACACCCCCATCTCCTACCTACTAACCTCATCCCGCCCCCTTGACCTGTCCGTCCTCCCTGGACTGACCCATCTCCTCCCTACCTACACTCACCTTTACTGGCTCCATCCCCGCCTCTTTGACCTGTCTGTTTCCTCTCCACCTATCTTCTCCTGTATCCATCTTCTATCCGCCTCCCCCTCTCTCCCTATTTATTTCAGAACCCCCTTCCCCTCCCCCATTTCTGATGAAGGGTCTAGGCCCGAAACATCAGCCTTCCTGCTCCTACGATGCTGCCTGGCCTGCTGTGTTCATCCAGCCCTGCACCTTGTTATCTCAGATTCTCCAGCATCTGCAGTTCCTACCATCTCTGGAAATCAACAGTGTTGGCTATTGTGTTAGATTATCCCATATAAAGTTTTAATAGAAAAACAAAATTATAGCTAGAAACTGCAGACAAGCCATTATTCAATAGAGATCACAATGGAAAGGTTGTTGAAATGCTAAGTATGGCTAAACCAAGGAGAAAGTTAAAGTGCTGTCATTGAGAAAGTGGAGGCACACAGTACAGGTCACAAGAAGTTCACCTGCTGCGTGGATCATTGGGTTAATTCAAGTAAAGGCACAGCACTGTCTAGCATGGGACAAGCTGTGACTGCAACAACAGATGATTGACTGCAAAATCCTCTCCACCCACATCCTGAATGAGTGTACAAGAGATATTTTTAACGTGAATGTAACCAGACTATTCCACCATAGTCTGCCAAATTTAGTCTTTAAAATGTTTAAAGAGCAAAGTGTAAGGCATAATACCCAATTGTCCCACCACAACAGGTTCAGCAAGCTACAACTGCGCGAATTGCCAAGGGGCAGGGCGACGTCAACTAAACTCTTTTTAATTCACCTCAGACAATTATGAAAACTTACACCGAGGTGGACAATGGTGTAATGTTGCACAACAGAACCAGATAATCTTGAATCTAGTACAGTCTTCAACCCAGGAGTCCAAAGGATCCTGTAGAGTAGTGAATACCTGTCCTCTTACTCTCTATTTCCCAAACTGAAGCTGTGAAGATGGAGGTGCTCCAGAATTTTGGACTGCAGCACAAAAACATGGGAAACATATCTGAACTGTACTGACAATGAGGCACCAGTATCACATTCATCCTAAAATAGCATATCACAAAGAGATTACTGAGCTTGCTCAGAGCTAACTTCCGACATTTTTCAATGCCTTTGATGGTTCAAGGTCAGACCATTACAAAAGGTACAAAAAAAAATTGAAAGAGAGATTTTTCACAGATTTACTGCTTCACTGTACTTTAAAAAAGCTGAGCACACATGTAGCCAAATCCAATTACATAAGGGGGTTCCTTTGTTATCTTGCAGCTCCACTGAAAACAAATGTTTGAGCAGGCCCCCTATAATCAACTTATCGTGATTTCGCTCTAGTACCACAGGAAGAGAGAGAGTGCCAGAGAAAAGAGGTGAAGGAGTGATTGTAAAGAAGTGTAAAAGAGCCTTGCAGAAGCAAAAAAGTGGAAAAAGGGAAAAAATTACAACCAAAAAAAATTTCAATGTGTGACAGCACACAAAAATGCACTTCCATATATTCCACATTACATAAAAACAGTTGTTATCTGAAGAAGTGCAATTGAACACAAGATTACTGTTTTGCGCAGCTGTAATTCCTGTCAGTGGTGGAAAAGTTGTGGACACCCCAAGTATGGCTAAACCAGGGAGAAAGTTAGAAGTGCTGTCGTTCAGAGGCAGGTGTTCAGAACAGTAGCACATGCACACTTATGGACAATACTTGACTGTTTCTAATACCTTTCTAGTCAGAGATAGGATAGGAGTTTTGATTGATTTTTAAACTATTTAAAGACGACAGGCAGGAAAACAGGCTTAGAAAGCAAACTGACAAGGCAAGCCTCTCATGCAGTCCACTTGGGTGTAACAACGCACCAGGGTCTTTGAAAGGGAAACAACTATGAACACAGGCATTCAAGACCCATACAAGTTTCCACAATTCATAATAAAACTGACTACGAAAACAGACAAATAGCAAATATATTGAATACAAATCTTCTCCTTCCAGCATATTAAGGCTTTACACAGACAGTTTTCTTACATAGTAGAAAGCTCAGGTGGTAAATAATGGAAATTACCATGGTCATTGTCTCAATTTAATGCCTGAAGAAATCTTTTTCCTTTAATGTGTTATTTAAAACAGGTTAACATTATAATCATTTCTTCAGTCATTAAGAGATTAGAGATTGGGAATTTTATTTGCTGAAATTTTCTGATTATTTCTTTGTTTACTGAACCATGCAACACATTTACATTTTACAGAAAGACAATTAAAAAATTATAGGTGAAGCAAATCAAGAGCTTAGAATTAAAGACTACACAGACTTAAAATCTTTGCCAGCCTGCATCAAGCCGACTTATTCATTTTGGTGTGGCCAGCTGATCCTGCACATGCAGGAAGTGTTTCTTCTGCTATTGCTGTATAAATAAACAAACCGTATCTTGCAGTCTACGAGCTTCAGCTACGAGTCCAGGAACCAAATCCATGATTTAAAAAAACACCAAGTTAGTAAATGACTGCTAGCTGCTGTCAATCCTGTAACATTGAATCATTACAAATATACTTGGAGGAAACCAGCAAAGGTTCACAATCAAGTTCATGCTAGTATTTTCTGATCTGCAGACCTCAGGACATGGGCAAAAGCAAAAACCGTCCATTTGGGACTGGATACCAAAAGACTAAAAGCAGCATGGTCTGCAAAGTGAACCAGAATGAAAAATGGGTCAGTAGGGAAAAGGAAGAAATATGCATGGATATCACAGAATAGAATAGGATCATAGAATTCCATTGGTGTGAAAACAGGCCATACAGCCCAACAAGTGCACGCTGTCTCTCCAAACAGCATCCCACTGACACCCATCCCCCCATCCTTAACCCTGTATTTTCCCCTTATAATCCACACCCTGAACACTAGGGCAATTTAGTATTGCCAATCCACCTAACTGTACGTCTTTGGACTGTGGGAGGAAACCGGAGAATCCAGCGGAAACCCAGGCAGACACGGTGAGAACGTGCAAACAAACTCCACACAGACAGTTGCCCCAAGGGTGGAATTGAACCCGGGTCCCTGGTGCTGCGCGGCAGCAGTGCTAACCACTGAGCCACCATGCTGCCGAGTAATGCTGCACACTTCACTAGTGGAGATGACAGGACCAAAAAAAACGAAGAGTTTTGAATATAAAAATGGTGCTACCATGCAAACAAGCAGGTTGCTTTACTTCCAAAATCCTAGAAAAGCCCAGAACGATAAAAATTGGGGTGGGAGGAGAATTTTTGAGGGTTGTGCAAATTTGAAAGTCACTCCAAAACGTAATGGAGGCAGAGTCATTGAGATTTTTTTTTTTTTTTTTTTAAAGGCTTAAGTCTATAAATGGCTTATCAGGCAAAGGAATCAAAAGTTCTCTGGCTAACTGGAAATATGGAATCCAAACAGTAGACTGGCTATGGATTGGCTATTCCGCTTGGGAACCCTGCAGCCCAATGGTATCAATGTGGACTTCACAAGCTTCAAAATCTCCCCTCCCCCTACCGCATCCCAAAACCAGCCCAGTTCGTCCCCGCCTCCCTAACCTGTCCTTCCTCCCACCTCAAGCCCCACCCCCATCTCCTACCTACCAACCTCATCCCACCCCCTTGACCTGTCCATCCTCCCTGGACTAACCTATCTCCTCCCTAACTCCCCACCTACACTCACCTTTACTGGCTCCACCCCAGCCTCTTTGACCTGTCTGTCTCCTCCCCACCTATCTTCTCCTCTATCCACCTCCCCCTCTGTCCCTATTTATTTCAAAACCCCCTTCCCCTTGCCCCATTTCTGAAGAAGGGTCTCGGCCCGAAATGTCAGCTTTCCTGCTCCTCTGATGCTGCTTGGCCTGCTGTGTTCATCCAGCTCTACACCTTGTTGTATCAGCAGATTGGCTATGGTAGTATTGAATGGCAGAGGGGTCTGAGGGGTCAATGGGCCTACACTTAATCCTAATTTATCTGTTCAAAACTTTCAGTGTGGATAATCTACACACAGTTTGCCCAAAATCAGTTAAAATATAGTTCTAAACTAAATGCTCTGATGAAGGGTCTAGGCCCGAAACGTCAGCCCCTCTGCTCCTATGATGCTGCTTGGCCTGCTGTGTTCATCCAGCCCTGCACCTTGTTGTCTCGGATTCTCCAGCATCTGCAGTTCCTACTATCTCTGACCTAAAGATATCTTTTTTCTCTCCAAACCCCCCAACTGAAGGAATAACAAAATGAAAGCACAAATCACCTTTTCACTCTCTACAGCTCACACAAGATCAGTAAAAACTTAAGTAAGGTTTTGCCATTTTGGTCAGGAATGGTACATAATGGGAAGGTAAAGACAACAATTTGTTATACCAAGCAGCCAAGTTAAATAATATGACGGCACGGATGAAATGTAGCAAATCAGCTGAGCCTCTTCCTATTGTCACAGCTTACATTATTTTCTTGGTGTTGGTTATTCTTCATCAGGGTGATGATACAGTTGTGGATGAAGAATGCAAGTGCAAGAACTCCAGTCATATGTGGAAAAGACAATCTGAACTCTACAAAACAAAAGCAAAAGCAAGAGCAGAATTTCACCAGCTACTTAAGCAGCACCCATGAGCTTTCTTCATCTTATTTTGTTTTCTTTTAAAATACGTTTTAAAGCATAAAATATGACTCTGATGTAGTTTACAGTATCCGAATAATGTGAAAGATGGCTCATCAGGAATCAAGCATAAGACTTTGGAAAGGAAAGAACAATTTATCTAGCTTAAGACAGTGCTAACTGAATGTCTTGACCAAAGTCAAGGTGATTTGTTTTGAATTTGATCAGCTACAACAGTTAGAAGTTTCTGCTGCACATCAGTGCAAACCATGGTCCAAATGACTCCCCCACTGACCCTGATTCTAAGACCAGATTTTCTCTCTGACCAAGAAATTGCCTTGGCCCTTTGGACCAGCTGCATCCTCAAATGCAATTGTTGCATTCATTCAGGTATTTTTAATGCCTTTTCTCTTCCAGGAAGTTCCTTAAAATGCATTTGCTGAAACCACTGGATTTCATCTCTTTTAAAAAAAAAAAAAAGTCGTTGAGTAAGTAGGGCTGCTCGAATGATGTAACATACCAAGATATCAGTGTCCAGGAGGCGTGCCTCTTTTGCTCAAAGTATGGTTTTGGGTTGAATTGAAATGTAAAGGAAGAAGCCAGCACCAGAGCAGAGTGCTCAAATCGCTAGGACTCCGGATGTCTAACATTCCAAAAAGGTGGGGAATCGTGTTCATTTTCTCCCCCTTTCTAACTGCATCTTGAAATGGCACCAATGTGTCCACTAATATTGCAAAATGCAAGTTGTGATTTATGCAAAACATTCACATATAATGTTGGAATTCAGAAAACTTAAGTCCACAGACTTTTACTCCATGTTATACAACAATTATTAAACAAGGAATTGCTAGTACTTTTATTCAGAAAGGCTAGCTATGGGAGAATTAATAATGGTGGATATTCTTTCTGAAAATAAGGTCTTCTGCATCATTCACCTGCTCAATGCTCAGCCAAATTAATCAGAGAGGAATCTAGAGTTATGTGAAAAGGCAGGAAAGTGGAGTTGGAGTATCAAATTATCCAGGATGTCACTGAATGAGGGAAGCAGACTCAAATGGGCTGAATGGCCTACTTCTGCTCCAATATCTTATTGAGGCTTCAGATCATAAATAAATTCGAAGAGGGGGCTTTAGATGACTACAGGAACCTTTATAAAGCCAAGGTCAGCAGTCATTAAGAATAAGAGATGCATGAGTAATTGACGTAAAGTAAGGAGCAGATTGTTAAAATGAAGACAAATAATGACTGCATGGATAATGGAAAGCCATGAAAAAGAGATGCACGAATGCTGCATCGGATAACTCAGTTTAAGAGTTCATAACCAGGATCTCTGGGCACCCAGTGATCGGACAGAAGTATTCAATGTTACTGAAAATAAGATTTTACCTGTCCTGTGCCCAGCAGCATCACCCCTCACTAACTGGAAGCAAAACCATTTCAATGATAATTTATAAGCAGATAAGCAAAGTGGTGACCAAAAAAAACAACTTAGGGCAATCAGTTTGTTCAGGGCAAGCAAAGCATAGGTAACCAGAATTCAACTGTATCTCAGTCCACGAGACCCAGTGGCGGGGATAAGCTGCACCAGGGTCGTCGGCAGCACAGTTGCAACATCTCCAGCGGCTTCTCACCTTGACTCAGGAAGTGGGGGGAGAAACCACCTATAAATCATATTACACAGATCTGTTGGATAAAATGCAGGCCCCAACCAAGAACGGACTGCAGCTGAGAGTCAAATCCACAAAAACCACTAACGCCCCTAGAACATGCAAGAGACCAAAATCAAAAGAGAGTGAATTGATATGTACAGAGTGACCTTATGATATTCAATCCAGATGCTGAAGTTCATGATACTCATATGAGCTTGGGGGCTCCAAGGGAGGTGGTGACTGGAGGAAAAAAGATTACGCCAATTTAACTATTGGAAAGCAAATTAAATATTTCAGTATTTGAGTGACTGCAGCAGAGGCTGCACATATTTGGCCGTTAGTTGGTATCATCTTGTACTACATTTGGACGTCCTGCACTGTGCGTTCTGGTCAAACCACTAATAATGAGAAACAAGAAATCACACCCCTACAGGAGTTTTGACACCTTTTCCCAACTTTTAAACATATTGGAGTAATTGTTTTTACAAAATGTAGACAGGTCAACTGATGCCAAGTTTTGAGTGGGTTTAGAAACATGCAGCTCCTTGTAGGAGGTTATTTACAATTATATAATGAAAACTGGGTGAACTTTTCAGAACAATTTTCCATGTCTGAGGCAAATCTAGGAAACGTTATCATCTGAATGTACCCGATTTGCTGCTATCCTACCTATTTACAAACCTGGGACTACCACTTACAAGTCTCACTGAGTTAACTTAGTTCTAACAAAATATGAGGCCAAAAATTATTTCCAAAAATTGTGATCATTATATAGGACTTCTGAACAGTGGACTTGGGAGCAGATTAATCCATTCAGCCCTTGGAGCCTGCCGCACTTTTCAATAGATTATCATTGCTGACCTGACTGTAGTCTCAACTGCACTTTACTGTCTTAAAACTCCATAAACTCAACTCCCAGTGAAAAACCTACCTGCCTCACCCTTGAAGGAATCCAATGACTTGGTGTTGAGGTGGATCAAACTTTATTAACATGACAAAAACAACATGCTTCATGTACAACCAATTAAAAATAAAATTTTGCACGGGTTTGTAGAATCTTCATAACCCCAAGCGGAGAGAACAAAGCATCTTCAGCAGCAAAAGTGTGATAAATTCCTCACCAGTGCTTCACCATGTCCCCATCTTCCTGATATACAGATAAAGTGGATCAGTAGCTTTATTTTTGGAGAAGGGGTTAGAAGGAGCAGGAGGAAAAAAAAAAAATCCAAAGAAAAGAAAGGATAAAATGGCTGTGAATACAGAAGTTGCAGCTCAAATTTTTCTGATGAAAAACTGAAGTTCAAAACACAGTCTCTGCAATACCTTGAATTGTCTGTACACAAGAACAAAAACTGGTGGAATGCGAATGAAGTGGGAAAGAACTTCACAGGAGTGAAGTTTACAAGCAACCCAAGAACATACCCAGGGTTACTAGGCTTAAAGCTTTCACTCTGCCAGACTTGCTGAGTTTATCCCACAATTTCTGTTTTTCTTGCCCCGAATGTACTCATCGCTCAACATGTCCAAACATTCGGAAATCACAATAAATAAAAGCAATTACGACGTGGCATTATATTGCCATGATCAGTCAAGTTCAAATCTCCTGAAGTGGAGACGAAATTGTTCAGCAACACTTCAGCATTGCAATCAAGCCAAACCAGTGGAAAGACTATAACACCTAATGAGCCAAAGCTTCTCGGCAGGGATCCTAAGAATGTTTGGGCTCACAGACACTCAACTGAATAAAGTTAAAGTTAATGCAAAGACAATTTCAGATGTGCCAAGGTAACAAAGGATTGTGAAGGCAAAATTTAGGACAGAAATCAGAGTTTCCTACATTAAATGGGCTAAAAAACCTTAATGCAATCTGGATTCCATCTTGAAATTAAAAGTAAACAACTCGAGGCAAGTTCCTCAAATGAATCATCTCTCACAGCTTCTCTAATTTGAATAGTTTGATATATATCACATTATACAAAAAGGTACAGTAACGTGATGAAAGAGATTGTGCAATTATTAGAGAAATTACCTGCAACAAAATTGTTTACAGATTCAAACCAGTGGAACTCCAAGTGAAATCCTTGTCTCCCTGCCTTCAATGTTACAAGTACAATTAAGTAAAAGACTGAAACTGTGCCTGCAAATAGAAACAAATGTTAAATTATAGTCATGGAGTTATACAGATGAATGCAATTAAAAATGAACATTAGAAAGACCTGATATGCCCCCTAATGGTTAAATTGAGGACATGCACTAGCCAGTGCTATTCTCACCCTAAAAGCAAACTAGACGACAGTTCCTAACTTGATCTGTTGGAACTAATCTCAGTCAGCAAGGAAGTTGGATTGCTGCAATCATAATTTGCATCTCTCATTGTGGAATTTAGAATGAAGGGTAATCTGAGAAGAAAGGGAGGTAGAAGTGCACATCAGGCATGAATAAAATTCTTGTCTGCTATGGTACTTCCCTGTCCCACTACTAGTCAGTCAGGTTGAATACCCTACCTGGCTTACATATGAAAAAGGATCGTTTGAGTGAAGTACTGGAGAACTATCAGCTCTCAAGGAACTGTATCTTGGAATGTGGGAAGATGCATAAAAAGTTGGGAATTATTGAAGAAAAATCCAAAAAACCCACTAAATATTGCACCAATATCAAAGCATGTTGTGTATGATTTGAAACATGAATATGATACAATATTTAATGGATAATTTCTTAACCCATATTTGGAGACTCAGCAACTGAACAAAGGTCCAAATAACTGAGTCAGGAGACATTATTGGACAACACAGTAAAAATCAGACAAATGATCAGGTACACCCCCATGTTCTTTAATAAAACAGGTCCAGGACATAATTGCACAGAAATAAGTGGCAGCATCTTCCAAGCATAGCTGGCACCATGTGCCTAAAGATCAACTCTGCTCATTGGATCAAAAGTAGTATTACCTTGACTCAATGTAGACTAAAAAGCTGAGCATAGTTCTAGTCAACAACAGATAGTTAAAATACCCAATCAGTGGAGGTCAAATTTGTGTTGCCTGGCTAATTCTAATGAAATAGTTTAAAGATAGAAGTGCCCAAAGCCCATGGCCCAGCAGTGTTCAAATTCCAGCCTCCGCAAACATTTGAATTTAGCTACGTCATCATCTTGAAGACATCTTGTCTCCAGAAAATGTTCAAATCACCTCTACTCACTGTGAGCATTTCTAAAATAAATAGTATAACAACTGCACTTCCTTTATTTGTTAAGAGTTAGCACACTATATCACATGACTTTCAGCAATCAGTAAATCTGCATCAGAAATCAGAATCCTGAATATGTGCCGTGAGCCACTAAATATCCTGCAAGGAACTGCAGGTTAATCTGTGCAAAGACATCAAACAGCCTACTCAAATAAATCTGACACCACTACAAAAAGTCTTCAAAGGTTGAATGGTGATTTTGCAAATTCTCAGATGCTCTAGGACCACAATTTATGTTCTCAACAGGTAGATAAAAACATATACTAGCTCTTCAGTTAGTGCTCGCATTCTCAGCCAATTTCTAAGAAGTTACACTAGGATGAGTGGAATACTTGCCTAGATTATTGAATCGTGCAAAGAATGAAGCAGACTTGAAGCCGAGGAGAGGTAGCAACAGTAATATCAGGTAGAAGGGGACAGTGTTGGTTTTATTCCACCACTCCTGAAACTCGTGCAAGGCAGTATCATTGCTTACGATGACAAACATGTCAGTGCTATTCCTTTGGTGAACTCCAGGTGGGTTTGGACAAATAACTGAAAGTAAAAAGGATGCGTCAGAATCACAAGTTTGGTAAACAATTGCAACAATTCCCAAATTAAAAAGGGGGGGCAAAAGTAAACATCAGACCTACCAAGCAAATCATGCTACAATTCGTAGAACATACTAATTGCTCTACCTCTTCAACACTTTCCACAACAGTTCCACAGTGGCTACTTGTGTTCTTAAGAATTGCACACAGATTTTTAAACAGGAGGAGACAAAGATAAATCCATGGGGAAAACATCAGAAGTGGAGAAGGACCAGTGCAGCTAACTCTCATTATGATTGGGTAGCCTGGGGAGTGTTGCCTAATAAAGGGATCTAGGGTGGAGGTTCATAGTTCCTTGAAAGTGGAGACGCAAGTAGACAGGGTAGTGAAGGTGACATTTGGCACACTTGCCTTCGTTGGTCAGTGCACTGAGTATAGGAGTTGGGATGTCATGTTGTGGCTGTACATGGCATTGGTGAGGCCACTTTTGGAACACTGCGTTCAATTTTGATCACCCTGCTATAGGAAAGATGTTGTTGAACTTGAAAGAGCAGAGAAAAGATTTACTAGAAATGTTGCCAGGATTGGAAGGTTTGAGATATAGGGAGAGGGTGAATAGGCTGGGGCTATTTTCCCTCTAGTATCAAAGGCTGAGGGGGTGGCCTTAGAGGTTCATAAAATCAAGATGGGCATGGATGGGGTGAATAGTCAAGCTCTTTTCCCCAGGGTAGGAGAGTCCAAAACCAAAAAGTTTGTAGGTTTAAGGCGAGAGGGGAAATATTTAAAAGGGACCTAAGGGGCAACTTTTTCATGCATTGTGCTTTGCATACCATCGTAAAATGCATGAAAGAGCTGCCACAGGAAGTGGTGGAGGCCGGTACAAATTCGAGATTTAAAAGACGTCTGGATTGGCATGTCAACAGTAAGGATTTACAGGAATATGGGCCAAATGCTGGCAAATGAGATTAAATCAGTTTAGGTGTGAGCGAGTTAGACTGAAGGGTCTGCTTCTGTTCTGTAGAACTCTGACTTAAGGATGGAATCAGCAACTCACCTAATTAGACTATGGAAAGCCACTGAAAGAGGATGGCAGCAAACAGTGGCACATTCATTTCATTAAACACCAAACTATGGTTGCATCTTAGGACATGGTATAAAAATCAAGAAATTAAGAGGTGCACGTAGCAAGGGAAATACCATAAATTAACGGTTAACTCAATCTAGATTTACACAATGAGAAAATGCTGCGGAGGAATAATTTCTGCTTGACAGTTTTCTGAAGCAATATGCTGAGGAACCAACTGGGACACAGACTATTTTAGATGTAGTATTACGCAATCAGAAAGGACTAAATAATTTTGTTATAAAAGAACTTGAGAATAGAGACAGTGAGATGTTTTTCAACTTTAATGGAAAATTCTATGTACAATCCAATCATTGGCTAGAATGAAAGTGTGGAGGAAGTTGGCTGTGGAAGATTGGAGAAACACAAAAAGCCTCAATGGTACACGGAATCCAATGGGGAGTCTTTTTTTGCAAGCTTTGTTTTCTAAACACAGATTATAAATCACTGAACAAGAAAAGCAAGAGTAATGGTGGACAAAGAGAAGTTCAAAGTAGCATCGGATCAAAACGACAAAGTTTGCAAAACAAGATGTAAATCGAGGTTTGGGAGAATGACAGCTTAGCAAAAGGAGGACAAGGAAACAGATAAAGAGAGAATATTAGCAAAGACAAATATGGTTTCATTTCAGGCAGAGACAGGATAATTTAAACAGTGAAATGGCAGAGAAGTTAAATAATTACTTTGTTTTCTCAGAGGAACCAGCTACAAGAAGTGTCTCCGAAATAATTAATCTTCAAAGTCTAGTGAGTAGGGGAACCTGGATAAATTGTTAGGAAACAAAACTATTTTTGGGGAAATTAATGGGACTGAAATTTGACAAATCCTTTGGATTCAATGACCTACACTCTAAAATGGAGCTTCAAGAGGGATATGATTTTCACTTCATAAGTCCTTGATGACTGTCCCCTCACTATTATTTTCTAAATATCCAATAATCACATCCTTTACAATAGATTTCCATGTTTTCCCCACAACAGGTCTTTAGTTCTCCTTTTTCTCCCACATTCTTTAACAGCATGGTGGTATAGGCAACCTTCCATTCTGCAGAAGTCATAGAATTTTTGAAGTGGATGGTCGGGATTTTGAGAATGCAACTTAGTGAATTAGGACAATTTTTTCTCCCATCAGCAAATATCAAACAGAGAGTAGGAATGAAGCACAGAAGAGGGAGGAGGATGTAGAGTCACTCAAAGAAAGCAATCAGCAGGTATCTTAACCATAGCTTCCAAGAGAAGGCAGATTGGAAATTTTATGATGGTATTCAAAGCACAACGGCCTGGACAGGGTAATTGTGGCCATTTGACAAAGAATCAAGAATAAGAAGCCACAGAAGTTAGCTGGGGAAAGAAGCAAAAGCAGCATGACAATAAACTTCCTCACAAACCAAGTGGTTAATATCTGGAATGCACTGGAGTTGGAGGAGGCAGGTTTAATTGAAACATTCAAAAGAGAATTCGACTGTTATCTGAAAAAGGAAGAGCATACAGAGGTACAAGATTAAAGGCAGAAGAATAATGCTGAGCAAATTACTCATTCAGAGAACTGGAGCACAGCCAATGGGCCAAATGTCCCTCTTCTATGCTGTGTATAATGATTCTGTCTTTTTAATTGTGTACTGAAATGAGAAAGGAAGTGGTTTAAAACCAGGGTTTTCAAGCATTGCTGCATTAATTGAAACATAGAATATGATGCTCATTGTGAACGTTGTTTGCACAGCTAAGGGTTATGGTCGCAGTTGCAGATGAACTAGAGCTGAAAGGCTGTGCACACGTGAAGCTCTGGTTGGCAACAAGTAGCAAATTGGTAACTAGTGACTAGTCTGTCTACAAATTAATAACAAAGCTCTCCTGTGTGCCAACAAATGATGTGATTAAGAGCAACATGTGCATTTCGTGATATTGACATGCAAATTCTACATGAGAGAGAGAATCTAAGTGGACAACCCTACCTTTACTACTTCCATTTGTACTTAAAACATGGCCCATTTCCGTGATATTATGAACATAATCTGGAAAATAAGGCAATAGATTATGGTAGAGGTGATTAAGCAATCTTAAAGTCTAACATACAATGAAACACATCACCCTGTAATCGTTCTGCTGCTGTGAAGGGAGTCTGAACTCCCTTTGGTGATATCAACATATATACATGCCAATTCCTGTAGCAAGGATCCCATTGATTATTTTTCCTAATATACTAAAATACCGTTTGCAGTAATTTGATGAAGTCAGAGCGTAGGATTTTAATGCATGTAGGAACCGAACTTATCTTCATTATCTTGAATGTTATATTTGTAAAAGTTGTATTCTCAACAAACTGCAGAAGTCTAGATTAAATGAAAAAAGGTCAAACTAAAGCATATGGATTTTTTCAAACTTACTGTAAATAAATTTCCCCGTGTTGAACAGAAAATTGGACATAAGCACCCAGTAAACAATCATGGCTCCAAATAGAGAAATGAGAGAGAAGAGAAGACTGGACCACTGGCCAAATGAGCCAAAATAGTATTTGCAGACCTCAGGAAATTCCCAGTTTGATGTATCTATATGAGCTTCAAGAAAGAAAAACAATGTATTTTAGAAAATAATTGAGCAAACAAAGAGGGTCAATAACCCTTATTGTCCTACTTAGCAAGGATGTCACTTGGTGACACACAAAGATAACACAGGCCACAAAGTGCCATAGATGGAGTTGGTCATCATTAAGGATTTAAACTCATCTAGACCATATGACATTGTACATTCAACTTGCACTTCCCCATTAGCCAATCTCTAGGGAGGATGGAAACAGGCAAGCATCTTCAAGACAGGTTTTCCACCATTTAGAAGGGCAAGTGCAGGAGACGCACAGCAACACAATCACCTGCAAGTACCCGCTAAGTCACACACTATTCTGACTTGGAAATACATCACTGCTGCTTCACTGACTCAGGATCAAAACTTTGGAGGTATCTTCCCAAGGACATTTAGGGTGCACCTACACCACACGGACTGCAACCGTTCAATTCAATGCTAAGCCACTATCTTCAAGGGTAATCAAGATTGGGTACACAAGCTGGTCTTGCCAGCAGCGCACACATCCCATGAAAGAATACAAATGGTAGGATGTGAGACAAAGACATGTAAAAACAATTTGATGAAGCAGATGTGCTTTTTCCTCAGATACCTCAGCTCGTGTCAACATGCCACATAACCAGCATTCCGGTCATTTAACTTTTCTCATTGAGTAAAAATGCTGCTGGAAGTGACTTGCAAAACTCAGAAGGCCGATATGGCGGTTTCCAGCTGCTATTCTGTGAAAACTAAAAGGCTGAATAAATTGGCTGACCTAATTTACTTTCAAAACTGTTTCAATATATTTTCATTTATGAACTGAAGTTCAGTTTGAGTTCAAACTGGTATGTTTCCAATACTGAGGCATAGGGTTAAAATTCATTTTGCAGGACAGTGTGTTTAGAATCCCGCAGAAAGAGGTTTGGTCACCAGGCAGAACACATCTTGAATACACATCTGAAGCTACCATTAGTATTGTCAATTTGAAATTATTTATTATTCCCCCATTCCAGGTATCTTTCAACATGTTTCTCAGTTGGACCATTTGAAAATTGACATTTCCTTAAATCTCCAACTGAACAAATTAAACATAGTAATGAGTATGCAACCTTCAAGTTAACATAGCTACCTTTTCATAAAATGGTAATTCCACTACAAATTTCTTGCAGAGTATATTTACCTGAAGTCATTTCAAATATTTGTTTTCGACTATATTAAACCATACAAGTTCGTCACAAAATAATAATACGCACCTACTGTCTGTCTAGATGTCAGCACCCGGTAACAACAATATAGCATCAACACGTTCATTAAAATTAGCAAGATAATCCCCAAAGTAAATCCTGCCTAAATGAGAAGGGGAAAAGAATGCTTCTAGTTACTTCAAAAACAGAAACCTGTCTCATGAAGTTGCAATATGTCAAATGAAAATAAAAGTAAAAAATGCAATACAACAATTAACATATTGACAAAATTCACAGAAGTGCACATAAAACATCCAACCTCCTTTAGTGCCCATGGAAGACTCAATATTGATGTTCCCATCATGGTATTCCAGATAGAAAATCTGGAAATAAATAAGATCTCATTTTGATCAAGAAGACAGAGCAATTAAGAAATATTTTCCTTACAAACTGGCTTGGATTTGAAATTAATAATCCTAAAGGCGGCATAGGTATCAAATGGATTTTAAAATACGATAACAAAAAAAGTGGTTCACCTATTTCAATGAATAACTCGCGTTTGAGTTTCTTTAAAAATGTGCTCACAGATCGAGACAGAAATTCCAGCCTTTGGTCGGACTTCCAGTTCAAAAGTGTATTTTGGTCAATAACAAGTAACAGAAATTATTGAAGAAAATGTAAAACTTGTACATACATTGTGACAATGCTGGGATTCTTTCCAAAGCCATCTGTGCTACTTTCAAATTGGAGAGCACTTCCTAAAGGACTGTAAACATAAATTTCTTCTTCAGCTGGAATTACATGATCAGGTGGTACCTGCAAAATAGAAATCAACAATTTATTAACAAAACATGCTTACATACTTTAAAAAAAAAAAAAAATCACAACAATCTCTGTTGCAACATTGCATGCTCTCTGTCCTCCATGCAATCAACAATGCCTAAAATGTCCATGATTCAACAACATGGTAATCAAAATATGCACATGACAGGTCTCCCAATCTATAACCATCCCTGCGCTAAGGTCACCTGCTTCATCAAACTTGCATAAGCTCCTGGCCCTTCAATGGCTCAAGTATTATATCCTTGGTTTTGAAAATCATTTTATCACAAGTCCCTCCCATCCCCTATAATTCCCATTCCAAAAACTCCCTACTTCTTGGAGACTTCTGTCTCTGTACATTCACTCACTCTTTGCCTCAGCATTTACAGGCATAACTTACACCATGTTAACCTGTGTCTGTGATTTTCTTACCAATGCTTCTCCCAGAGACACCATCCTTCTTTCAGGGCATCTTGAAAAAGCCCACGTGTAAGACTAACTTCTCTCAGTTTCTTGCCATCTACTATTCTTATGCCTTTTTATTGTTTAGCAGGTACTTCACCATATTAATGGGACCATATAGGTTTCTAAAGAATGAAATCAACAATGTAGACTACAACTGAAGAAATCCAAAGTACTGCATTAGTCACTCCCCTTACTTTTATCTGGATTGAATTCCATTTGCCATAGATCAGCCCATCTATACTCTCCTATAATCTAAGGCTATCCCCCTCACTATTTAGCACCCCACCAATGTTCAAGTCATCTGTGAACTTACTGATTAACCTTCCTTTGTTTGTTAAGTATATTCGAGGCTGAGATAGATTTTTAAATCACTAAGAGAATAAAGGGTTGTGGGGAAGAGGCAAGAAAGTGGAGAGGAGCATCAGATCACCCATGAACTCACTGAAAGGCAGAGCACATGCAAGTGACCTACATCTGCTCCTATTTTTTATGGTCACATGGAGTATTCCACAGGACTTAGTTTGGGTCCCTTGCAGTCTGTAACATATACCAGTGACTTTATACTTCATGAGGTGTGACAGAAAAATATGCAGATATCGGGAAAGCTGGCCAGGTAGTTGAGTGAAGTGAATGACTGTCAACTGTAAGATAACAGGGTCACTCCATTGGTCACTCAGTTGGCTGCATGTTGGCTTTCAACGTGAAGGCATATAAACATCATGGGTTCAATTCCTATACCAATAAAGGCACCATGAAGGTTCCACCACTTCAGGATGACCCTCAGGTTAAACTCACCATCAGTTGTCTCACCCTAATAGAGAGCAGTCTGTGTGCATCAAGTTCTATGGAAATTTTCACTTTTGACAGTTCACTTGGATGGTTGGACAGGTAACAATGAATTTCAATTTGGAGAAGTGCAAGATTGTGCACTTGGTCAGAGTAAACAAAGTAACTGAATACACAATAAATGAGAGGATATTCTGAAGGGTAGGGGACATGAGAAACCTTGGAGTGCACGTCCACGGATCTCTGAAGGGAACAAGAATAGGAAGATATGGTGGTAACAGAGGCATATGGCCTGCTTTCCTTCACAGGCAAGGCATTAAAAACAAGAGCAGAGATGTAATGCTGGAACTATACAGGCACTGCATAAGCTACAACTGAAGTTTAACGCACAGTTCTAGTCACATTACGGAAAAGATATAATTGCTCCAGAGAACATAGAGGCGATTTACCAGAATGTTGACAGGACTTAAATTGCACGGAGGAAAGATTGGGGCTATTTTCCTTACAACAGAAGAGTGGGTGAGGGGTCACTTAATTGTGGTGTACAAAATTATGAAGCACTTGGATACAGTGGACCAGAAAGACCTGTATCCCATTGCAAAGGGGTCAATTAACAAGGGACACAGATTTAAGGTACCCGGAACCAGGATTCGATGGGATAAGAGGAAAAATATTCCAAGAGGTTGGTGGGTGTCTGGAATTTGTTGCCAGTTTGGTAGTTGAGCCAGAAATCCTCAATTCATTTAGAGACACCTGAATCAGCACCTGAAGTACCTTAACTTGCAAAGCTATGGAACAGGTCCTGACAACTGGGATTAAATGGATGGCTAGTTATTTCACATGTTGAAGACATGGTGAGTTGAATGGCTTCTTCCTAGTCTATAACTTTTCTGCAGTTTTAAGAAACTTTCCAGCAACTGTCAACAAAACACAGCCAGCCTTGCTACTTGCACATCCAAAACTCATGCATCTCCAGACCCACAGAAATGTAGCTGACTCTTAACTGCCCTCTGGGCATTTCGGAAGGGGCACCGAATGCTGGACTAGCAAGAGATACCGACATCCCATGAGTGAACAAAACATCTACTCACTTTGCAAACACGACCTGGAACTAAGCCACTGCAACACGAATCCATTGCTGCTAACGTCAGTAAACGTGCCATAGATCAATTATGACATTCAATTATTACGCAAACCATCAGGAAAGCAGATGTTTGAATTCCTATAATTCCCACTAGGGCTTCTAAGATGGGCCAAGTTCAACTGTGATGAATAAAGCACAACCACCCTATAAAACTTGAACAGCACAGAAGAAATCATTTACTCCAGGGTGGCATGGTGGCACAGTGGTTAACCCTGCTGCCTCATAGCACCAGGGACCCAGGTTCGATTCTAACCTCAGGCCACTGTGTGGAGTTTACAAGTTCTCCCCATCTATGTGGGTTCCCGCTGGGTGCTCTGGTTTCCTCTCAGTCCAAAGATGCGCAGGGAGGATGGATTAGCCATGGTAAATACGGGGATCAGGTGGGGGCACTTGGTCTGGGTGGGATGCTCTTCGGCAGGTTGGTGCAGACTTGATAGGCTGGATGACCTCTTTCTCCACTGTAGGGATTCTATAATCTTAAAAGAGATGTCACAAAGCTGAGGCAGGATTAGCAGCACAAAGTGATGAGAGTCAGGTGGAAATGTAAAGGAGAAGATGTACAAACGGTGGGTGCATGCAGCGAAGGAATAGAGAACAGAAACCTGCAAGATTTATTCGAAGCTTAGTAATAAAAAAAAAAACACATTACTACCAAGGTCTTGTGTGTTGTGGTCAACTTGCTGTAGTACTGAATACGGCTATTCATTGCTGAAGCTTCTTGAGTCACCTGCTCCTGTTGATCTGCATTTCCATGAAGGTTTCTAGGTGGCACGTAGAAAGGTCTAAGTGGAAGATGCAAAATATATCTTGTTAACATGTACATAAGTCAGTTGTTTGCAAACACCAATTTTAGACTTGAAATGTAGGAGATGTGGGGTGCAATGGACAACAAATAATGTTAAGAAGAGCCCATATTCTTGACTGCTACAATCTGTATTGTGAAGGACAGAGTTCCAGGAACAATAAAGGAATGATACTCTACTAGCAAGTCAGGATGGTGGGCGAGAAGAGGAATGTGCACCTACTGATTTTGTATTTCTTAGAAACAGGTCACAAGTTTGAGATGCTATCAAAGGACCGTTGGCAAGATGTCACTGTACAATTTGAAGACAATACTCAATGCAACTATGTAGTCAGTCAAAGAAGTAAATGTTTATTATGGCTTGTTAATTCAGAACAGACTGCTCATCACAGAAATTAAGAATGGAACTGAACATTGTGGAACATTCACTGAGTTTACAAGCTTGCTATGTTTTAGGATGGCTAGGTCAATGCAAAGGTAAAATGGAGATCTGCAGTTCATCTGACAGGCCTGGCTGGTTTGATTGCAAAAAGGTGTAAGGTATTCACACTTGCAAGCAATGATAAAGGCAGCTCGGATGCTTGGGAGTTTCCAAGTCTCAGGGAAGTGTTATACTCATGAGTATCTATGCTCCAAACCTGTGTTTCACCAGAGAAAAAACACAAATATGAGGAATTGACAATGCCATCCACTGAATCCCTAAATGAGGGCATCATTACATACAGTGGGCATTTCAAAGCAAGAGTGGCATAGCCCTCGGACTTGGACATTATGGTCTGGGAAAGATAAATGATGGTAGAGATTACTTCAGTCTTGCTACTACTACATTTTATGTAGCTAACACCATCTTTCAGGAAGAAACTCACCACAATGTATGGTTCTATGTTATCCAAAATCAGGACATTGGCACCAGATGTCTCTGATTATCACCAGATGCGACTCTTTGAACAGTATTCTCATTCCACACAACTACCAGTGTCAACTGTGGTACAAATCACTCCCTGGTGTGCAACATGGCAAGAATGCAACCCTGTAATTTTTCATCCACAACAGAAATCCTATCCTTGTGTTAACATCAGCCTTGTTGCAAACGCAAATTAAAAACAAACAGTACTGAGTGAAATGCTGCAGGGAAGAGCGCTGGGGCCTAAACTAGTGAAAATTTATATCAAAATGACTTAGATAAAAGAAACAAAAAATGTATGGTTGCTAAAATTTGCATGACAAAAACAAGTAGGAAGAGAAGCTGTGAACAGTACATAAGGAGGCTACCAAGGAACATAGGTAGAGTGAAAAAGATCAGGAAACGAGTCTAAAATGTGGGAAACTGTCTATTTTGGCAAGAAGAATAAACATTGTTATCTAGATGGTGAGATTGTAGAGCTATCTGGGTATCCTAGTGCGTGCATTACAAAAAGTTAATATGCAGGTACACCAAGTAATTAAGAAAGTTATTGCAATAATTAACATTTGAGGAGCATTGGATATTGAATGGAGTGTTATATCCCAGTTATATAGAGCATTGATGAGATCACATCTGGAGTTCCATCTACTCTCTTGGTCTCCTTATAGAAAAGGAAGAATGTAGGCAATTGGAACTAGCTCAGAGAAGATTGACGAGACTAATATCCAGAATGGAGTGTCATCTCATGGACAATGGTTTAACAGGCTAGGCTTATATTGGCTGGAATTTGGACAAGAAAGGCACTTGAGTGAATGTGGAGTCTGACAGTATGTTTCCTCTAGTGGAGGATCTAGATCAACGGATTTTAAAATAAATGGTCACTCATTTAAGACAAACAAGTCATAGATTCATATAGAACAGAAGAGGCCCTTTGGACTATCAAGTCTGTACTTCAAGAATAGCATGAAATCTGCACTAGTCCCCACTTTTCAGCACCAGGTAAATTTTTCTCAGATTGAATTTTTGGAACTCTGAAACCCAAACGTTGTCAGGAAGAGAGTCCTAAAAATACATTTACGGTAGAGATAAATAAATTCTTGATAAATAAATGGATGAAAGATCATCAGGGGAAGGTGCAGTTGTGGAGTAAATCAGATAATGAATGATGGACCATGCCTGAAGGGGCAACTGGTTTTGTTCCTAATATGTATGTTTTTTATGCTTGAACAGATGTATTCCTACATTGCCAAAGTGCAAAAGCAAAATGGAACATGCTTCAAGCTACTGTGTTCTCAATGTGTATGATGCAAGATTGGTGCGAGCCTAACTTCGATGTGATAGGACCCGTCAAGTAGTCGTTAATTACAAGAGAGACTGAAGCAAGAAGAACCTGAATGCACTAATGCCTATTCAAAGTAAAGTCCACCAGACCACTAGGTGATGTGCCAACGACTACTGGTCACAACCCTATTCTGATAGGCTTCGATATCCAGACTCTGTCAGGGTCATGTATGGAGAGCTCAAAATGACAACCAGCTAAAAACCTCCATGAAAAAGAAAGATGGGGAGTACAACACCAATGGCAATAAACAGTTGGAGAGATGGAGACATTACTTGCACTACAGAGAGTAAACACCCACTGAGGAAGTGCATGACACCAAAGGAAATCTGGTTATTAAAGCTGGGAATCAAATCCACAATGGAGTTGCTGAGCAAAGTTCTCTCTTACTTCAAAAGCTTTGGGTGATCTTATATCACCTGCACTCATGAGGTACAAGAAATCAGAACTCCCCCATCACCTGCACAAACTTCTGTGTCTGCTAAAGGGATGGCCAACGTCCCATGATAAAAGATTACAAGCTTGCACGTGTAAGAAGAACCACAGTGATTCCAAAAACTATCAAAGCATCTCCTTACTGCACAACACACTGCTGGCAATTTACCTTTTTTTGGGGGAAAAAAAAAAAAAAAAAAAAAAAAAAAAAAAAAAAATCACACACACAGGTTCCTACTCTGTAGTCAAAAAAGCTTTGTGGTCAGTTAATTACAAATACCATTCCTTAAACCTTACCTCCTTGAATTGGATTCTGGTTTGACTTTTGTTCGTTCTAGATGTGTCGATTTATCCTCAGCTACAGGAGTCAATAATGGTTTGATGTCATCTGCCATATTTCTGTATATGTGGATCTCCAAGGCCCAGTTATATTTTCATTAGTCACTGTTCTTTTACATATCTGGAGCACAGTAATATCAAGACAAACATGCAGATAGTTAATAGAAAGATATTTAAAATAAATGGCTGTCTTGCTAGCAGATGCAGATTAGGAATGAAAAGGTTATTTTTTTCAAAAATACACTCTGGACATGGAGGTCACTAGCTAGGCCAACATTTAATGCCCATTCTTGGTTGCCCTCGAGATGGTGGTGAGCTGCCTTCTTGAACCACTACAGTCCACGTAGACTCACAATGTTGTTAGGAAAGGGATTCCAGGATCTTCATCCAAAAAAAATCTGAAGGAATAGCAACATATTTCCAAGTCAGGATGGTGAGTGGCTTGGAGGGGAACATGCAAATGGTGGTGTTCCCATGCATCTCCTGCCCTTGTCTTTCGAGATGGAAGTGGTCACAGGTTTAGAAGGTGCATCTAAGGGGAACTGACGAACTTCTACAGTGCATCTTGCAGCTGGTACATATTGTTGCTGCTGAGCACTGCTGGAGCAGGGAGCGAATGTGGTGCCAATCAAGTGGGCTGCTTAGTCCTGGATGGTGGCAAGCTTAAGCGGGGTTGGAGCTGCACCCATTCAAGCAAGCGGGGCCTATGCCATCACGTTCCTTGTAGATGGCAGACAGGCTTTGGGGAAATCAGGAGGTGAATTACTTGCTGCAATATTCCTAGCCTCTGACCTGCTCTTGTAGCCACAGTGCTTATATGGCAAGCCTACCAGCGGTAACCCACAGGACATTTAGCGGGGATTCGATGGTAACGCCACTGAATGACAGGGGCATTGGTTTCAGTGTCTCTTATTGGAAATTGCCCATGCTTGGCACTTGAGGTGCAAACATTACTTGCCAATTGTCAGCCCAAGCCTGGATATTTTCCAGATCTTTTTGCATTTGGATATGGACTGCTTCAGTATCCAATAAGCTGCAAATGATGGTAACCATTGTGTGATTAGTGAACATCCCCACTTTTGACCTTATGATGGAGGGAAGGTTATTGATGAAGCAGCTGCAGATGGTTGAAGGAACACCTGCAGAGATGGCCTGGAGCAGAGAAGACTGACCTCCAACAACCACAACAAATCCTATGTGCCAGGTGTGACTCTGATCAGCTCTCTCCGTTCCCACCCACCCCAAACAAAATGGGTATCACTGAGCAGGTGCTGCTTGATAGCACTGTTGTTACCACCTTCCAACACTTTACCAATGACTCAGTAGACTGATGGGGGCGATAACTGGCCAAGTTGAATTTGTCCTGCTATTTGTGCAAAAGATATACCTGGGCACTTTTCTACACATTTGGGTGAATGCCAGTGTTGTAACTGTACTGGAACAGCTTGGCTAGGGGGTGCAGTAAAACCTACTGCACAAGCCTTCAGTACTATCACCAGAAGGTTGCAAGGGCCCATTGACTTAGCAGTGTCTAATAGCTTCGATCATTTCTTGATGATAGGTGGAGTGAATCCAGTTAGCTAAAGACTGGCATTTGTGATGCCTGGGGCCACTGGAGGGCGCTGAGATGGATTGCCCACTTGTCACTTGAGCTGAAGATTGTTGCAAATGCTTCAGTCTTATCTTTTTCACTTATGTGCCAGTCCCTCCCTTCAATTAGGATGGGGATATTTGTGAAGCCTCCACATCCAGAGAGTTAATTATCCACCATCATTTATGACTGGATGTGGTGTGTCTGCAGAACTTAGGTCTTCATCTGTCGGTTGTATGATTGTTCAGTCCTATCACTTGCCGCTCATGATGATGTTTGGCAGCATCACCAGGTTGACATCATTTTAGGTATGTGTGGTGCTGCTCCTTGCACGTCCTCCTGCACTTTTCATTTTAAAAGCAGTAAATGCCATTTTCTATTTTGAATGTTAACTAAGGAAATATTCTAGCAAGGAAATAGGTTCCAACGTAAACATATTCACTGTAACTTTAATGCAGACTCAACAGTTGTTAAGCTCCTTTTCCATCTAGGAACAAAAATATTCTTTGATTGATCACAAGCAGATTTGGAATCAATTAGAAACCTCTGTACCAAATGATCTATCAAACATTACAACATACCAAAGCAATAGTTAAATTAAGTTACAATTAGTCATAACCACAATAACAAAATTTACAGATTACAGATCTGCAATAGCTCATTGGTTACCAATGTCACAACTAGAGTACTGAGTTAGACCAATGTAAAAACAAATCATTAACATCATAACTCGCAAATGCAAGTATTGCACACAAATTATCTCAGGACCCAAAGCTGAAGCAGAATTCTGCACACATCCAAAAGCAATATGCTTTTGCATTAACTCCTTCAATGCATCACAAGGGAAAACAAAAAAAAAGTCACAGGATCGAGGTACAATAACAAATGTAGCATGTGACATTATAGTGATCACTACTAGACCAAGAGTCATCAAGATAACCGGAAAGCCGCAGGCAAGCAGAACAATACCACAGATTTTCTACAAGAATTAAGAAAGTTAACCTGACAAATTTTGTGAAAAGTCATTAAGAAACTTAGTCAGAAAAGACAGAGTTGGAATCAATAAAAATGAACAGTCTTGCAGGCTATAATGCCCTTAACCTGCTCCTAACAATTTTTTCAGAGATAGTAGAAACTGCAGATGCTGGAGAATCTGAGATAACAAGGTGTAGAGCTGGATGAACACAGC